GATACCTTATCAAGACAAGAGTGAGACTCCTGCAGTGCTTGAAGTTGAAAACACATTTGTGACTAATGACTGAAAAATTGACTATTTTTTATCCCACCAAATAGAACAGACCTATGTAGGTTGACTCTAAGCCACCTGACAACTGTTTTGCAGGGAACGATTTCTTTCTCACAGTTAAGTTTCTCTTCCTCCTCTTAGCCTCTAGTCACATAATCAAGTTAGTCAATGTTTTGTTCCCCAAAGATTTGATCAAAAGTGTCCCAAGCAGTCTCTCGCCGACTAAGAATGTGCTTTTATGGCCTGTGCGTGACTCTAGCTCAGCTCACGTTACGTCTGTGTGCTTTGGCATTTTGTTACTGCCATAATCACATTCAAGTTTACAGTACGAGACTACATGTACACTTGTGTGTCATGATCAATAGAAAACCAATGTTACATTAGCATATACAAGCTGAAAAAATGATTTCCCCTGCATGAATGGCAGGTGGAATTTTTGACATTCAGGACCTTTCTTTTTAGGTCATATGCAGCGCTCGCCTACAAATGAGACCTCCCTTTTGTTGATTGATTAGGCATATACTCCAATTCATCAAGCCTGTTACATTTAATATATCTCACACCCCACAACATTTACTTTACGCGCATAAGAGCAGAGCAAATACTAACAATGAAGACCACATGTAAGAGAATGATGAGAGTTCCTAATAAATCAGAGATTCATTTTCTAAGGTTGGCATAGTTGTAGTTTCTCAATTATAACATTCAACAGTGAATGTGTTTGAATGGTTAGCTGTGACATTTATTTTTGTATGTGAATATATTTCATTTAGATAAGACATTGCGTAAACCCTGGTGTTATTTCCATATACAAAGACAGACGAATAGGCTGACAGAGATACAATAGAAAAATATGATAATTTAATGCAGGAAGAACAGAAGTGGCATTTAGTAGCTGGCATTCAGGATTAGTTTGAAGTGACTTCATTGTCTTTCTGTCTGCGTTGTCAAATCTACTGACATGCAAATCTAACTCTTTCTCCAAACCTAATATATTTTCTTTCAAAAAGTTATTTTGTCTTTTTCCGCCTGGAGACAGCATGACAAGATGTAAACAGAGCAACTGTAATTATTGTTATTGTACCTGTCTAACAGATATAGAGAAGTTACCAAATATTTCTCTGTCAGTGTTTTAAGACAGGGTGATGCAGCAGTAGCACAAATCTCAGCAATATTTACCTCCTGGTGTGTCACACTTGCAGTTTTTTTGTGGATGTTTGGGTGTCAGGCTGCCTACTCTCGGGACAGGTTCTGAGGCATTAACAGCCGGAACACAGCATCTTCTTGTTGACTCGTGGTGGCTCTCCCTGATGCTGACTCCCTGCCTGTCAGACTGAGCACTGCTGGAGGCCTGTCCTGTGGGTAATGCATTTTAGATGGGGGCCACAACCCCCCGTCCCCTCCCTTCCCGCATGCCTCATTACCTTCCCACTGATTGATAAACATTGAGCTGCTGCTGCTTACACTTGATGTAGTTGGTTGGTGGTTCATTGCTCAGCTGGGATGAGCTGAAACCACAAGTGTTGTCGGCTGGTGTCGACTGTTATTTGGCGGTTTTTCATGTTCTTGCCCATTAAAGGATAGGTTATTTCTTTAAACAGTAGTAAGGTTCCCATATGAACACTGGAACCCATTTTCTTGTTGTTGAAAGATTCCTTCCTAATGTTAAAGTTTCAGCTTGCGTGCTATCTTTAGATTTTACTGTTGGTATGTGATCCATTTGCATGATTCTTTCCTTATTATGCACAAGGGTTAACTGACGTTGCCAGGAAACAATCCAATTTTAGCACCGATTAGCAACGTATGCTATTATGCTGCAAACCATATGAATTGGCAGACTTGGAGTGCTAGTGACAAGCCAAGTCTGTTTCAAGGGGATTACCAAGGAAACCATATAGTTTACCAACCAAAGTATGGTATTGACAAACCTCTTATTTTAAACTGCTGGCCTGTCATTTCTTACCGTTGGTCCATCGGTGACTAGATAAATCATCTGTTTTGACGAAGACACGGCGACCACTGGGCTCTCAGTCCTATTTCTTTGAAGTTGTCCAGCATATTTGTTGAACTTGATGTACTTGCATGATTCTTATTGTAAGTCATTTTGGATAAAAGTGTCCGCTTAATAAATGTAATGTATTTCTGGCACTTCTGCTGTATAGTAGGCAGGAAATTGGAGAACAAAGTAAAGGACTATTAGTTTTATTCCTCTACCATTGCTAGCAATGCAAAAATGTCAGTAATGATGTGATCCTGAACATGGACGGTCCATACTGCAATGTTCCTGGAACCAATTCCATTCCTATTGCCCAATTTTAAGTGGAATAAAAATCTATTTGTCCCTGTTTCTTCCTTTTAAACAGCGTGGTGACATTAGCCACTGTCTTTGTTGCCATCCACTAAGATTTGATTAGATACCCTGCAGCATCTGAAACTACAGTACATCGGTTTAATTCCTGCAACAACTATGTGTCTTCTCTCATCGTCCTTGAGGAAGACGCTAAATCGCATTCATTGAAAGTCACAACAAAACGTAACATATGGATGACACATGGGTGTCTGCAACATGTTCTTTTATACCCACACTTTCCCAGAGTGTTGCAGGCAACCAGTGAGACAGAGACATACACAGACACACACACTCACCACACTGGATTGTCTGTTGTGGGCAGATGTTAAGGTTGTGTGTCCGACCGAGAGCGCAGACCTAATTAAGACTGAAGAAACACATCATTTTATTTGGCTCTCTCTACTCTTTGGCCTCGCTTTGATCCAATGATTATTACCAGCTCTTTGGCTCTGCAGAGGAGTAGAGGGCGGGGAAGCATTGTGTCTCATGCTGACAGCTCCCAAACTAAATAACCCCCCTCCCCGGGTTGTTACATCTGACACTCCCAGCTGGGTTGTCAGTGGTGAGGTCAGTAAGAGAATCCAGCTGCCTGCTGAGGTTTGTTCTTCTGCTGTGGATTAGCACCAGCCAACCATCTGTTGGTGTCCTGTAGTGTATTACTGTACATGTGCTGTATGTACAATACATGGACACATAAAGGCACAGACACTCTCATCCTCGCTTATACAACAAATACACATCATGCTGTAATAACCAGCTCAGGAGGGAACCACATAGCTTTTTTGGATCTCAGCTCATTTGTTGATCTATCTCTTCTGCTGTCCTTTTGGCCCCCACCGAGTCCTTCCCCAGAGAAAGGAGCAGTGCTCAGTAACCTTCGTAAGTGACGAGAAGGGCAGCCTTCATCGTAGTAGTTATAGTAACGATTTTTCTCATTGCAGTGACAGGAAAGCACAGCCTTGCAGTTATTTGGTGTACTCAAGCAAAAATCTATCTTTTTTTAAAGAATCGCCCACAGGTCCAAAGTCTACAGGACACACAAAGGTTTGTAGTATGCCATGTCTTGCAGCTGTAGTGCACTTGGGTTCAAAAAAGCTGCAATGGATTCACAGCACAAATGAAACTCCTCAAAACAAAATCTTGTTGCACCATCTACATCTACATCTACAGCAATAAACCCTCATAGTTTCTCCAAAACATAATATGGGAGGTGGTGATTCAGGAGGTAGAGCAGGTCGTCTATTAATCCCAAGGTTGGTGGTTCAGGGGCAGGCCAGCACCGTGTATGTTAAGGTGATGTCTGTTAAGGAAGAAAAGTGCTATATGAGTCCAGTAGAATCCAGTAGAATATTTAGGAACTTTATTGTTGGAGTGAGACAGTGGACACTGCATTGCCTTTGGGGACAAAATACTGGAAGAGCTTGAAGGTTCATTCTTGACCATGGAAACCGCAGTGTGACAAATAAATACTTATCACTAGGTCCAGCATACTTGTTGTCTCTGGTAATGTCATAACCACTAAACTATTTCCATGTCAACTTAGCAACTCCCCCAGCTGAGGAAGGCCATGAGATGTGGTTTAAAGCTTTGTAAACAAAAAGTAAGTGGGACCTTGTGTAGAGAGTTTTTATATCAAAATACCAGTGGTCTTTGAAATTTGTTTTCATATCACGTATCTGTCATATGAAAAATTACCAGATAGTTGATGGTTAACAGTCATCACACCCAAATCAGGAACAGAACAATAGACGGTATAATTTACCTTGGTGATGGAATTAATGTTGGAGCTCGGTGGAGCCGTATTGAAAAATAAATAAATGAAAAGAGCCCTGATTGGCTAGTGGAAAACTTTAATTGCAAAGCAGTGATAACAAAACGGAGTTTGCTATGATGGAGATCAGTGAGTACTTGGTCAAAATTAGAGGAAAAAGAGGCATATTACCAAGGTAATATATGTATTGTGGTAGTCTGCCCTACATGGTAGTGACCCCTGAATTTATGCTCCTCCTCATCAATTCTTTTAGAAGTAAAAAGAACAAGAGAGCAGGGCAGAATCCCTCTGTTTGCCCGTAGCAGAGATTTATTGTGTTGATTTATTGTGCGTTCACTTGGTAACCTCAGAGAGTCATTTTATAGCATTATTGATTCCTGTTTGTAACTAAAAATGATTTCTTCACTGTTTTCCTGTCAACATAATCTCTTCATTCCCATTTTTATCAGATCTTATGTGTCTGTTATATCTGCCCATTACTTGCTATTGTTTGCAATCTGTAAGCTAATTACTGTTCTGCCGTATCACATGGAATGAGTTATGGATTAATATTGAATGCTTCTTCATGGTGCATGCATGTGGTGTGAAAGTGGTTTAATAGAAAACGTCACAGCAGCCTCATTTTATCCATTTTCGTCCTTGATGCCTTCAGCTGCTCAATTCAATTTATGCTCTCCTAAAGCAGGGTTAGGTTTTAAATCACATCAGACTGTTTATCTTCCATGCAGGTCTGGCAGTGTTGGAATGGCTTAAGACATTGTGATTGATTTTTTAGGATGAAACCCCTTAGGTTCACTTGTTGTTTTTGTTTATTCTTTCTAGGGGGCTGTTTGCAAGTAACTATACAGAAACCCATTACCTGGAAGATGGCAGTGCGGTCACAGGCTCTCACAACTTCATGGTATGTTTTCACAACTTCTTGTTTTCTGCTTTTTATTGAGGATGACACAAAAAACTTATCTTGAATCTGTGATGTTTTCTTCTATCACCCACCCCGCAGCTCTTATGAATGTTGGCCTTTTGTAGTACTTTCTTCTTGTCAGGTTCTGCTTCATCGTGCCCCTATTAGGGTCAGTGAGGAAGTAAAGAAAAATGAATGTTGCAGGTAGACCCACTTTTATACTGTCTGAAATTGGGTAGTCTTGCGCATAAAGAAGCTGGCGTAGGTGAGTGGGCACATTTTCGTTCTCTGCCAGGAGATTCATATTTGATGAAATAAAAGGTGGACAGAGGTCAGAGAACAGACTCAGTTTTAGAGAACAGCACAAGTCCTTTATAATGGATAAACTTCAAACCATGCCAAATGGTTTGTTACACAGGTCTGCAAGAAAATATTAAATTAGGGAACATGTAAGTGCACTTCAGAAGTGACACACTGACTGTGAAATTTGGCATTTTTGGGCGCTCATAACTTGTTAAATTGGAATTGCACTTTTATCTAAAATACATCTGTTAATTCTGTCAAATGACTTGTAATTTTTTGCTTACTTTTTCACAGCTTTAACAGGGTTGAGTGTCAGCTTTTTACATAATATACAAATATATGCAGTTTATGAGTTAATTACTTCATAAATTATACTTCCTGAATTGTGTTTTTTAGAACCATTCAAGTTTGAGATGTGGTCTTATTCCACTTTCTTGTGATTTGCCATGTTGTGATGAGTATTTCTCATCTTTATTAAGCTCAGTTGGGTTTTCCCCAGAAAAATATGTTCTGCTTTAAATAAAATGGGTCTTTGAAAACATCTTCCATGGATCCATAAATATCCCTATTCAAGGATATTTATTTGAGATTTAGGAAGAGGAAGACAATTAGGAAATTACATATACTGTAAAGAATGAGTATAATGTGGCTGGACCACGTGGAACAGTTTCTATGCCTCAAAGCTTCCACCTGCTTCTCTGATTTCAGTTTTTTGATCATCTGCTGTTTGCAAAGCAATTAAACGTCTTATTTTTGTTCAGATACCCAGAAAGCATAATAATAGACGGCCTGTGAGGTCTGTGTACAAAATGCCTGGCCTACTTATGCTGAAATCCACAAAAGAGCAGATTAATATAATTCAATAATGGCCAACCCACACAGTAAAATGAACAGTATTTTTCCACTGGAGACTGCTGTGAGACCAGAGCTGGACCATCACTGGCTGGGCTCGGCCAGCTCATCAGAATTGCTCCCATTCCAAAGCATAAAGACAATGAAGGAGTTGAAGCAGGTCAGCTCAGGGCGGACTCCGTGACATCGAGAGTCCACAGCTTAGATGGCTTGCACATGGCATGAATGGGCAGTTAGATGGATGGATAAATGGCTGTAGGGCTGCTTAAAAGTTGTTTTCGTTATCCAGATAGTTGATTAATCGTGTAAATCCATAGTCTATAAAATGTTTGAGAATAATGAAATATGCCCATCACATCGATCAACAACCCAACATATTCAAAAGTGGAGGAAAGCTGCAAATTCTCACATTTGAGACGCTTTAACCAGCAACTGTGGGATATTTTTGCCTTAAGCTTGCATCAAATGACTAGTGATTTTCTGTCAAGCACTTAGTTGATTAATCGACTAATAAAATGCACTATATGAGTTGGGTGGATTAAAGATTGAGTGGATTAACCAATCACAGCCTGTACCTACCTGCTCAGTGTCTTACCAGCTTGAGAACTAACCTCTCACTTCTAACACTTCCTCTCATTCCTCTCTCATGACCACAGCCAGCTCCTCATGGGAGGGTCTTTTTTACTGGAAACAACTAGATCTTTTGAGACTGATCTGTAGTTAATTTATTTGTCCTGCCGGCAGGGAGGAGACTGATATACTGATCTGGGCAAGGGATCTAGAGGGTTCAGTTGTGTGTCAAAGGCAAGGTACTGTTTAGAGTGACTTCAGCATTAGTCAGCCCTCCCTCTGTTCCCTTTGTCTGTTTTACATTCTCTCCCTTTCTCACTAAATCTAAATCCACATACAGTGCAATACAATAAATGAGTGCCATGTGCTGTAGCAAAAGCCATCTATTGGGAATATTAATCACTAGCATAGATATTAAAGAGTTAACTTGGAATAATCAATGCATAGTTATAATAAACAATGTAATGTTCACACCCAGGGTTGTCTCCCACAATAATCTGGGTATTAGTTATTAATCTTCCTTATTCCAGATATGAAGGCGTAAGCACTTTCCGTTCTCTCTGCAGAAACCGTAGAAACAAAAAGTCTATTCATATCCCTTATATCGATGCATCACAGTCATGATCTCATCAAAGAAACATGAGGTGGTAGCATTAACTCAGTGCACTAAATCCAGCCGTACTCCTCCCCATAACACTAACATTTCATATTTCATGTAATGGGCTGTCCTTTCTTTGCACCTTTTTACCTCACTATAATGGATAGTTCCCTTTCAGTAAACCTCTAGGTAGAGATATGGAAGGTGGCCAAACAGACGAAGGCTTTCAAGGCCTTGCGTCCACTTTTTGAATGTCCTCCTAATAAGATATAGTTTTTTTTTTCAGCGTTTCAGCGGTAGGGTTATGTCCCTATTGCCAAATCCATTATTTCAACCTTGTCCTCAAAAAAAAAATCATTTATATGCCAAACATGCAAGAAACTGAGTACTGTGTGGTTTATATCTACTGGTAAAAATTTTGTCTTGCAAAATTAACTAATTGCAAAAAGCAAACAATTTCTAGACAAGGTTGTCATTTTAGATTTGGTTGCAGGTTGGTAAAATTGTTGAATGTATAAACAAATATCTTATCAAATCCTTTATCTACGCAATAGCACAAATCAAATAACAAAACGTCCAGGTAATTATTTAGCTATGTGTAAGATGTCTTTTTTGTTTTTTTCTGCCCCTGTAAACAACCTGTAAACACAAACTTGACATATTATCATAAAAGTATTTTTTGATTTAAGAATTGATATCTTTTCATTGTGACGGTCTTTGAAACACATTGACCAAAATTTAAGTGGATCCGATCAATTTTCTAGGAAGAACTGGTTAAAATACAAAACTGGACATTAAATTCAAAATGGCTGACTTCCAGTTGGGTTTACAACATGGCCCCAAGAGGCTTTTTTGTAAGGCTGCACATGCTACATGTGCCTACCAATTTTCTTAAAGTTAAAACTAGATCCCAATTTGAGAAAATGCTATTTGGTTGGGGGTACTATACCATTTATCCTTGCTGTTTTAATTAGCTCATATCAGATGTGGGGATTATTTGTTTTAGTGCAGAATTACTGTGATGAAGTACTGTGATGCAAGACTAAGCAAGGATCCCCTTTAACACCAGAAACCCATTCAGACACTAAACATGCAAAATCAGCAGCCACATGGAAGGAGACCGGACGTTGAAATTTATTGCCTATACTATATTTAGAGGCAGTCAAAGATGGGTGGAAAACTCACATTTCCTTGTTTCTCCAGAACAGTGTGGCAGAAGGGCCGTTGGTCAGACCTCACCTGAGCGAGGCCGTGTAACACTAGCAGAAGGGCTGTTTTCACTCTACGGCCAGACATTTCCTCCCCGCCCTCTCGCTGCCAGGCCTGGTTCAATAAACATGGACTTATTTCACTTTCTTTACTCCCTGCTGCAGCTTGACAGGTGGTCCATGAAAGCGGGTACCTGGGAGCGCAGCAGCAAGCAGCAGGATTGTGCTGGGAAATGTGAAACTCTGCACAGATTTCAGCCATCATTACCCTGTGGTGATGTGGAAATGGCTCCTGCTAACCCTGTGAAAGACTGTTCCCCCAGAGTTAATTTGCTCATATTTCACAGTTATCAGCTGGGACTGGTGTTGCTGAACTGTGCTTAAACCTAAAGACATGTTTTGTTTCAGACTTGTCCCATTCTCCCTGTGTGGAAACTTTAAGTCTTTTTGTATGTGCTCCCTCAGGCAAACTGCTACTACCATGGTGAGGTGGAGGGTCGTGTCAACTCGGACGTCAGCCTCAGTACCTGTGCTGGTGTTAAGTAAGTGTGTCAGACATTCATTTTTTTCATTTTGTCATGATGATACCACTGGTCTAATGCCATTGTTATAAACTACAGAAGTATCCAGAAATGCGTAAATGCAGTTAACGCAATACCAGAGGTGTTTGCAAGTCTTAAGGGACAAGTCTCATGCCATTCAAGACAAGCCTAGTCACAAACCCATCGATAGCTATTATCATCAATTAAATTAACCTGCATTCTTTGGACTTTGGGAGGAAACTGGAGTTCCCAGAGGGAACCCACGCAGGCTTGTGTGAGAATATGCGAACTCTACACAGAAAGCCCTCAGGTTTGAATCCAGAACCTTGCCTAGCTGAGACACTGCTTCAAGTAGTAGGCGTAGGCATAGTCAAGTCCAAGTCAACTGTCATTGTCTCATTGTTTTTGTTGAAAGTAAGTCTCATAGGGAACAAAATACGAGCAGTCAGAAGATCCCACATTTGAAAGGATAGCCTACTTGCCATAGTTGCGTTTTTTCATGTCTACGGAGTGATTACCAATATCTCTGGTGCTCATTTTCGGCTTTACTTTCAAATTAAGCGGTTTAGATTATGTGACTTGTTTACAACCCCTCAATTATTTTGGTGAGCACAATATTATCAAAAACTACAAAAAACTGACTCTGGTTTTAATAAACAGGAACTATGTCTGATTTGAGACCAAGTCATAAGTCTCAACTACGACTGAAGAATGGCACGCCAACAAAATTCAGTAAATAATGAATTTTGCAGCATTAGCTGAGATGTATATACTGTTGAAAAGCAATAAAGTTGACATATTGTAAGGCTGAGGAGTTTCAGTGTTCAAATACTCTTTTTGCAGATTTAAAACAGGAGTAATGATTGCAGTAATATCATTGGAAACCATCAGGAATGTTTTCACAAACCAGCCAAACATCTACACCCTGTGCCGAGTGATTCGCCTGATTGTGAAGCCCTTGTTGTTGACCTTGGTCCTAATATTTATTTATTTATTTATTCAGTTTTTCTGCACAACGACAGATAGACAGAACTTTTTTGACAGAAAGCTACACATTGCTTGGTTCTCCGAGACAAATTGATCTTGTCTTAGTTTGGCAGTGCTTAGGCTTTTGGGGAAGTTTAAGTATGATTTCATGTGGTTGTGTAATATTGTGCAAGGTTTGTGAGAATCTCACAGTTTATCCAGACTCACTGCATGAGACTGTCACTTTAAATCACAGAGACCAGTGTTAAAACATGAGAAAAGAGAAAGAAAGAAAGAGGCACAAAGGCCACATCCATGGAAAAACTAAAGAGATTCTTCTATTCTTTAAGCAGAATGTCATTCAAGTTATAGCCACTATTATTACACTTGTTTACTGCATAGCTGATATGTTTAGGTGCAATTCCAATATTTAGATTCAGGAAAAATAAATAGAATATGACAAGGCATCTGTCTAACCTCTGAGAGATCTTTCTTTGCACTTCTTCCTTTCTGCAGGGGTTTCATATCACTTGAAGGCAAATCCTATGTACTAGAACCATCTGCCGATCACTCTGATGGGACTCACTGGATCTACACAGCTGAACACCTCAGTTTCCCTCCTGGCACCTGTGGCCATGATGTTAACATATCCTATCCCATTGAATATGCAGACAGCAGTCCGTTCAGGACTTTCAGCACAAGGGTAAGGATAATTAAACTTTCGGCATTTTATCTCCAGCTACAATTAAACTGTCTATACTGATGGTGTGATTTGAAAGAAAGCGTCTACAAGAGTTCTTACTTCTTTCCTGTCTTTCTTTTTTAAAGTATTTTATGCTTTTATTACTAGGTTGAGAGCAGAGCAGGGCTATTCAATTACAGTTTTAGTTGGGCCAGATTTTAAAACCTTTTAATTGCTTCCTGGCCGGGTGTGGCCCATGGGTTTATGGAATCAGCCTCTACTGTATGTAGTCCAGCCACTTTTGACCTCACTAGGGGCTCAACAGGTCAAATTGATTAAACCTGGTTCAATAAAGACAATCAATAAACCCTATATCTCTATAAATCTTTAACTATACCTATTGATAGGGCTGATGTTGATGATGGATGTTAGCATTGCCATTGTGAGCATGTTAGCATGCTGAATTTAGCATTTAACTCTAAGCACCACTGTGCCTAAGTACAGCTTCATAGAGCTGCTTACATAGTGGTAGACTCTTGGTCTTGTATACATTTTGATATTGTGATGAGGATGGAGTGTTTTTGTTTTCTGTTTTCGATTTTGTGGTAATTTCTTTTTGTGATGTAATTATGTTTATTTGCTGCAGATTGTCTATATAATGAACCAGGTATAATCGATTGTTTTTTATTATTTCAACCCTGAGGACTCTGTGTGTTTAACCATTAAAACACCAGACTTAATGGAGGCTTTTAACGTGCCTTCTCTTCAACCTTGGAGTGCTGAAGAATGTTTTTTTTCCATTGACCAGCAATTTTAGGCTCAAGAACACCTTAAGCTTCCCTAGATGTCCTGCATTTGAAACTAATTGAGCCCTTTGCCTCTGCCTTTCTTTGTTTTTGCCACTCAAATGCTTAAGTTGGTCTTTTAATCGCACTATGCTCTAAAAAGAAAATTTTGTGAAAAGTGTAAAATGTCTTCTTATTGTAGCCTGTATTTGGATTCTGACTGCACAGAATTTAAAAAGAATACTCATCTTAACCCCCTTGAAAAATATAATTTGCATGTAGATATTCGTAAGTGGCCAGCTATGTATTTTAGAAGCTACTGCTTGTTGAATTATTCACTCATTTCTTCCATCTGATCTAACGGTGTCCATTAGTGATCTGGAGTGTATGGAGAGCGGGGGTTGATAAACGCCGGTGGAAAGTACATTGGCTGTTAAGTGGCAACATTTGCTCTGAGAGCGAGATCAGACTGCAGGCTTGTACATCATGCCTTCAGCAGGACCCGTCCATCCAGAATTAAACAGATTGCTTCTGAGAAACCACCACCATAACCCACACCCTACACTCCTACACAGCCCCTTACTGCCCCACAGACCGGAGGGATAAATCATAAGGGCCATGGTCCCAGGGAGTCTCAGAGGGAATAGGGCTTTAAAGATGATGAGCGCTGATAAGTGGAAAACACAGACTCCATTGATCTCTATCTGACTTGTGAAGGATGGCAGGGGTGGATGAGCATGGCTGAATTATCAGGTCAATACAAAGAGACACAGAGATAGGTGGTGTAAAAGATGAAACAGATGTTGAAGGCCTTAAAAGGAGGGTAAGCACACACATATCATAATTGTGATACAGCATGTGAGGGACTTTCCATGTTCTTAAAACTATTTTTTTTATTTTTGCAGTTGTTTAATCAATTCAAGGGTATATTGATTGAGTGGTTTTTTGGGAAGCAGGCCAAACACATGGCTGTGCTGGCTTAAACACCCAGTCCTTTCCCAATGTTAGTTTTTATTTATTTATGCAGTAATAGGGGTTTTCTGATGTTTTACTGTACTGTTTGATTCCTGTCAATGATTATAGTGCTGGCTTCAATGATAAGCATTGTCTTGACCACAAGTGACGAAATGAGTGAAGAGCACAATGCAGAAGTTCCAGACTGTCAGAAACAGAGGGGGGAGTAAGATAACAAAAGATTGTTTATAGCAGTGTGAAAAATATGGTAATTGGTAATGGTAAATTCTCCTTAATTTCCCATGCACTTCATTTTCTTTTTATTATATCACAATGTCCATTTCAATTTGTTTAAAATGCTACATCCCGATCCCACCTAACACAGCAAGAGATGTCAGAGTTGGAAGGGAAAACAGCTCTACTAAATGACGACAGATGCAGTTTATAAGGGAGGTGGTTAAACATGGTAATCCCACTGGTGATTAAAATAGTGAAAACAGATAAGATTGTGTTTTCAAAAGTTCTCACACAACCAGAGGAGCGAGAGGTCTTGTTAGTGGAAAAGAAAAAGATACACCAAAAGGTGGGAATATAAAGTCTGATTTGTTGTACTTGGTGGCATGCAAGCGAGCTCACCTCAGCATGTTACAGAGGGGCAGCGAGGTGTGCTGCTGCCACTTTGATAAGCTACGATGTGCCCTGCTTGAGGGTCTTAAGATAAAGAGGCGTGTTGGAAGAGTGCCCCTGGATGATGAGAGTTAGATGTGGCCGAGAAGGGTAGAGAGATATGATGGCTGGACGGGAGCTGAGGAACAGCATGTGTTCCCTCAAATCTATATTATCACAAGATGGACATTTGGCTGTCCAAGATGTCAAACCTGAACACAACATGTAACGGTATTTAATTGAGAGTGTCCTGTCTTCCATGGTTGAAACAGAATACTGGGGCAGAACATAACATGTGGATGGAGAATTTCTGAAGTGGACTATAATAGATATGGACTGAAAAAACAGTTGGATTAGTTTTTTGATCTTTGGAAACAGTGTGGATGGTGAGGAGAATCTAATCACAAAGCCCCATTATTCAGTTTTCACCTTCATCCACACCTGAGCCGGCTCCATTTGCTTAATGAAGACTGCGAGATGTGGTTGAAAGCTCTGACTTTGTTCTCAAATTCTCTTCACCATATAAATTGTATAAGAACACTGGCCTCTTTCTTTTAACGTAATTCTCTGTTATTGAAGCTGCAGTGGTGTGTAAAACAGGAACTGAGGGAATAAGAGAGAGAATATTTTGTTCTTGTTTGCCATTTATGTGAGGTTGAAGCTTTCAATTTGAATATATTAATAAAAGGTTTCCTTTATTCACATCTATTGAATTGGAGAAACCAGTATTTTCCATTTTCCAGTATTAGTTTTACTTTTATAGAAACAATGAAAAGAAAAGTGGTGTGTTGTAAATTCACTCTTATAGCTCTAACTCATTGGATTCTGTTCCAGAACAGGGATGCTCTTCACTGAATTGACTGAACATACTGTTCATGTGTGTCTCCTCTTCAGTGGCCTCCTAGAGACTTGGTTATCGCCATAGGGTACATTTGGAGCACACATGCCCATCCTGGCTTATCTATGGAGGAGGCAGATAAGAGCAGAGAGAATCCAGGCTGCCAGGCCAGCAAGGATAAAGAGGCTCAGGTTGAAAACGGGCCATAGTATGAAGGCAGAACACTTAGCCAGCAGGACAGTATAGGATCTCTGTGTGTGTGTGTGTGTGTGTGTGTGTGTGTGTGTGTGTGTGTGTGTGTGTGTGTGTGTGTCTCGTGTGTGTCTCGTGTGTGTGTCGTGTGTGTGCAGGTGAGACAGACCCTAGCTCGTCTGCCCACACACAGCACGAGAGCAGCATCTGCTCCATACCTAGGGGCCATATCTGTCACTGTAAATCACTGTTCACTCCATACTCTCTCTTTTTTATATATTATTTTAAAAGAATTTTGTAATTATTTATCCTCTTTTTGGTTATTTAATTTTTTGACATTCTAGTGGCATAGCTCACATCTGTGTAGATCTGTTGGTCAGTGAGTCTGTCAGCTAGTCCATCTCTTCGGTCTACACTTGGTCTCAACAGCTACTAGATGGATTGCCAGTAAAATTTGTCATTGTGAATATGTTAGTAATATGTTACTTTAATAATCCCCCCCTCCACCATAAATTATTGAACCTGATTCTCCCTACCTGTTCAAAAGAGGTTGGAATGTGGCAATCGTTATCCCCACCAAAATGAGAATGTGAAAACTCTTTTTGAATTTAGATTATTTGAATTAAGTTTGCTTCGATTTTCTTCAACATATGGTCACTAGCCCATAATTAAGTTAGTTACTGTGAATACTTATCATCATACTTCATCATCATCATCATATCACATGCTCTTTGATGAAAAGCGGGGGGTGCATTGGGTTTATGCTGTGTACAGGCAGCATTGTCCAAGAAACTATGATTTATTAGTTAATAAGATGGTTCCTGTGGAGTGTTATTGGAGGTCTGCGTGACCTTAGCGGCTCTTATTTGGGTCAGACAAAGCTGATTGCTTTGTGGTAATTCTAGTTTCTTCTGCCTTTTGTGTAGAATGTAGCTCAGGTGAAAAGCCATATTGAGTAGCCACCTGCTAAATTTAGGCTGCCCTTTCCATAAAGCTGCGGTTAAGTGTGTCCTCCTAATGTTGTTCTTTCTCTGTCTCTCCCCTCCTCCTCCTCCTCCTCCTACTCCTCGTCTCTTTTCATCTCTTGGTTTATCACTTTATCATTTCCACCCTCTATTCCCTCTCCCATTTACTGCTCTTTCTTACCTTACTCCCCCCCGCCCACCTCTCCCCCATATCTTTTCTTCCTTACACCCACGTATTCCCTGTCCACTCCCTTTCACTTGCAGCATAAACGCCATGCCCAGACTACAACCAAGTATGTGGAGCTGATCATTGTGGCTGACAATAGAGAGGTAAGCACAGGTCAAGTCGAATCGACCTCTTCACCCTCTGCTGCTGAATCCCACAGGAAAGGAGCTCAGAGGTCACATACTTACTTGCCCCTCCATCCCCTTGAGACATAAATAAGATGGCTCCACCACTGCCTTGTTGTCGCCGCTGATGTGTCCACTTACTCATCTGTTTCACTTTACAAGCTCCAGCTACATCTCTCTGCATTCATCACTTCACCACTTGACTCACAAATGAGACTATTCCATTATGTGCGCTCTGCATTATCTCAAATCTCAGACGTAAGATCTTAAAGAGGGCAACCAGAAGAAATTGTCCCTTGCTAACATGAGACATAAAGGTCAATGTCAAATGCTTTTGAGCATAAAACAGAATAAAAGCTGGATATAAGACAAGGTGGTTGAGATTATCTCTTTAGCCTAGGCTCTACTGAGGAGCTCTTTGATGATAGCAACTGCAGCAGAAGCTCCAGTGGAATTAACATGACAGTGACTGTAGCACAGCTCTGGGAAAACCCTGTGAAAACATTCCTAGAGCTGACACAGTGTTAATATGTCCCAAAATGTCTTTGATGATAATAAACATTCAAGAGGGTGGATCACCTCTTTTCTCCTTGCTTTACTCTGTCTGATGGTGTTGTTTAGTTTCAGAAGCAAGGCAAGGACATGGAGAAGGTCAAGCAGCGGCTGGCTGAGATCGCCAATTACGTGGACAAGGTAACAATCAAATGAACACAGGGATTGTAGTGTAGGAATGTGATTTATTAGAGGTCACATCAAGCCTTTTGAGAATTAATCGACCTGTGAGCAGAGGCTGATTGGATTATGAACGGATGATCAATTCCATAACTCGACTGAGAAATGTTGCAAAGAGGTAGTCGTAATAATTTGTGCCGTGGGTGACGTTTTAATAAAACAGAAGTGAGATATGATACATTCATATGGTAAATATTCATATGATTAATGTTTAAGGATTTGTTCAGAGACCACTGTACATCATTTGTATTTTAATAGGTAATGTACAGTGAAGAGAGTAATAGAAATGTTAGGAGAGACAGTTCAAAAGCTCTTAACCTGAAACCACATCTCTCTCCATGCCTCCCCCTCCTCCCCTCTGCCCAGTTCTACAGGGCTCTGAATATCCGTGTGGCCCTGGTGGGCTTGGAGGTGTGGAGTGATGTGGACAAATGTCCCATCACCCAGGACCCCTTCACCACCTTGCATGAGTTCCTAGACTGGAGGAAGGTCAAGCTGCTGCCTCAGAAGCCTCATGATAACGCCCAGCTAATCAGGTAGATTTTAAATATTAACTGTGTTCCAAAAAACATATCACTATTTGAAAGATATTTTTTTCCAAAATTATTAAGAGCACAAAATTAAGGAAAAAACGCGTGGTAGTTTTGTAGTGGTCTTTTGTTTATTCCAAGCAAAATCATATATGATGTATTGTAGTGTGACTGCTATTTCCTCTTCTTTTGAGCTATCCTCAAAGGAACCCTGCTGTGTGGACTTTTCATAACCAACATACGTGATTCTGTGACACCAAAACAAATTTACCTGCTTCATAAACCATTTGCAAAGCCTTTTTTGAATCAGTCCATTAGCATTCTGTGAAAGCTGTGCCCCAAAGTTGGTTAAGTTGTAGATACCAGTTTACCTGAATTTAAAAATATATGAAAATATGAAAATTGTATTTACGTTTACAGAAGACTAAACATGTTCTTATACAGACTTTAATGGCACAGAGGTTAACATTGAGATGTTCTTGAATCTTTCATTTGGTAAATAAATGATAAAATATGACAGAATAATGCAGCTGAATGCTACATCCTGATAATATAATTCTAAGAAAATACAGAATACTCAATATTTTGTCTTAAAATGACAAAATGTGCACATTTCACTACCCAGTACAGAGGTATATAAATTCTGAATGTCAACGGAAAAACTAAGAAAAATGTTTTAGCCTCACAGAATGACCAAAGAAAGAAACTGTTATGAGAAAAATAATTAATTTACATTACAGCAGTCATCAAAACATTGCGCTATAGGCCAGTAGTGGTCAGAAACTCTCTTGGGTACCTTTACCTTCACAATTCAAGCATTAAGACATACTTTGTGTTGATGATGTGATGTGACCCGTGTTTTCTCCCCCTTAGTGGGGTCTATTTTCAGGGCACCACCATTGGTATGGCACCCATCATGAGTATGTGCACAGCAGAGCAGTCAGGAGGAATTGTCATGGTATGTAAAATGGTGCTAGAGAATGTACACCGAATACCTTGAATCCATCCTAAAGCAAAAGAGTACAAAAGAAATATTTGTTTTTTGGCTTCTAGAAAGAAGACCAGACTTATTTTATCCTTTTCTTCTTTCTCTTCCTGCCCTCCACCCTTTGCCTTGTTCCGCACCTCCCTCCTGTCTGACATAATACTCTCATATTTCTCCCCGGAGTGTCTTGTGCAAGGGTTGAGCTAAGGATTCCAGGGTTGATATTAACTTGTATTAACTTCAGGGCGCACACATCATCAAGACTTTTTCCAGGAAAGCCAAGGGTATACATAGTTAAGTACTAGTACTTCTGCACTTAGTGCTGATACACGAGTGGAAACCTTCACTTCCTAATGAGGTGCAACAAATGAATGAATTTAAGGGTACCGCATATCACAGCCTGAATGAAAAAATAGGGACATTGTAAATGATCACACATTATAGAACTGCAACCCTATAATGTGTGCACTAGTCATGTTGTATTAGCGCAAGTCATGCTATTATTTTACACTCTATGTCTCTGAGTTTGTCTTGTGGCCTGGCTGGCTAGTGGTAAAGGTTTACAGCTAGTCCCCAGATGGTTCTTCACTCTTGTCTTTCCAGATGGTAAAGTGGGGACTTGGTCATTATGATAGAGCTCTACAAACACACATACATCAGGTCAGAGACACAAAGAATTAGTTTCCAACCGCAGACATCTTCTACTGGGCAAATCACAACCTCTTGTCTCAGTTGTCTCCCTTCGTTTACAGAGTACCTTTGAACTCATTAGCCAACTTCCCCTATGGGTCTCATTGTTATCTTTCTAGGCAGTTAAATGTTAAACATTTATTTTCAAACCATCTGGAATCTCCATTTTCCAGCCCTGAATGTTACATTAATTTCATTGGTGTGGTGAAACAGAACACAGACAGTGGCATTCAGTGCCCTCCTGAGCACCTCAGCCCCATCAGTCGGTTAAAGTGTCTGGGTTTTTCCAGGAAAAAGAATCACAGTTTTTTTTCCCATGAATCCAGGCTACACACTTGGAGTGCTGACAGCTGATGACCGTTACTTTCAAAATCCCCCAGCAGAGCAGTTCATCAGTCTAAGCTCGACTTGCACAGCACTGCTGAATAATGCACAGTGACGGAAGACTCTAGAGGCAAGGTGTTCTGACGCATAGCTCTGCATCCATGAAGAGCCGATAGCTGCTGCGTCTGTATTATTTATCCGGTCTTTTCACATGTTCATGTTTTACACACCTCGCAGGAAATCTCGGCACCTCAGCCAGTAGCGTCTTTCACTCTGTGTCACTAGCATCATCTTCGCAGTGCATGCACTAATACTGTCTGTTTTGAACCTATTTGCTAGTGTTGTTCAGAGGAGGTTCATGTCTTTATTTGTGTGGATGAAGCGGCACATCTGGCTCTGACAAAGTTTTGCAGAGCAGGCTGAAGGTGACAGCCGGCAGTCTGGTGTTTCATTTCTCACTTCAGTGCCACAACGTCGAGCAGAGGAAACGCTCTGATAAGCACAGATCCAACAGCATTGTTCGTTTAATCTTGGCAATATGCAATTACACTCACTTGTTTTGAGTAATGTTTCTCCAGTGGGTCCTGTGGGGAACAACAATTTGGCTAGCATTAAATTTTTTATTATTTGTTATTTTCCTCAGAGTATGTAATCAGAAATGTCTGTTTTTAATTAGCTATTGTTTGCTGCAACACAACTGTAAACTGAACCCATTTTATTATGGGACGTTGCTTGTAGCATCATGTCTAGCCTAGAAATGAACTCAATAAATCAGACTCATAAAGTAAAGAGGTTTTAAATGAAATGCCAAGTTAAGTTTCTGCGTGATTGATGGTTGATTGTTTTGTAGGACCATTCTGACAACCCGCTGGGCGCTGCAGTCACTCTGGCACACGAGCTCGGACACAACTTTGGAATGAACCATGACACTCCAGAAAGGGGGTGTGGCTGCAGGGTGACAGTGGATCGTGGAGGCTGCATTATGACTCCCTCCACCGGGTGAGTCACAGTGTCTATCTGGACAAGTAAGAGTCGAAAGAAGATAATTAACTCCTTAGTCCTTATTGAAATTAAATCATCATCATCATTAAATTTGCATTCATTTAGTCACTTATTAAATAAAGCAAGTGTAGCTCAAAAAAGCACAGATTGTGATCATATGTAAACATTATTTCACATGCTCTCCATTTGTAATTTATTGTCTGTCAAGCGGTAAGCAAATAATGCTGTTGAACTGTTGGGCCGTTGGGTTTATGGCAGATTCAACAGCTGTGCTAATGCCCTGAGGCAATATGACTCATTCTGAATGGGAAGCCAATGGTTCAGTGGCAGTGCATGGCCAAAACAGTACAGTTATCCTGACACAATGTAGCTGATCTCCAATAGACTAAAGAAAACACTTTGGAAAAAGTGTCTATTGCACAAAATATGCTTCTGTAGCTAGGGTTTGCGAGTTAGGTTTGCACACTGTGTTCAATCTAATGTATCAAGACAGAGGTGCTCACTATGGATTGTAATGTCTCTTGTAGTAGACCGAGCAGAGGGATATGGATGATCTGGGTGGAAACATCGGGTATCAGTTCCAGCCCAAAGTCTAGTGGTCTGTGGGAGCCTCAGATTGGCGTTTATGCTGGAAATATCCCATTGTATTTGGTTTGGACCAGACCCATTCAAAACAGGGTAACACTATTTTTGATTATAGACTCATAAAACAACACAGCAGTAAGATGTAGATTTATATTTAACCCTGATTGGGGGTATCCCTGGTCACGGACATTGTCCTAAAATTGGCAACAAGATGAACACATAAAAAAAGAGCATGCTTGTTTTTATATTTCTCCTGCTCTGTCTCTCCCTGGCTCTCCCTTTTTTCTTCTTTATTCACAGCCAGTTAGAGTGAGTCTATTCTTTGACACACATGCAACTTTAATGGTAGAAAATCTCTCTCTGCAGCTTCAAATAAATTGTTAAATACCTTTGAAAACTGTCTATTACACAGTTTTTATGTACAGAACATGTATCACCTCTCCCTTAAAATATCTGAATCTGAAATCGTAGGTAGCAGTGACGAACCTCTCCAGATGTGAACAAATTTACTTTGTACTAAACATAGACTTGAGAGAGAGAAATAAAATAATACATGAATATTTAGGCTTCTTTTTTTTGGTCTGTTCTCTACAGAGATTGTGCTTTTTTCATTTGAGCTAACAAAAGAAAGAAATGATCTAGTCCTTGGTTTCGAAATAATCCCCTCTACACCTCCTTATTGCTCCATATTGCTGCTCTGCTGTTTAATCCAGGATTAAGGAAGCAATACATTTAAATAAGGATGTTTAGGAACTCTGTATTCCCTCATTTGAATTCCTAAGTTAATTCCAGGTCAGCACCATATTTTCTGCCTGAGGCAGTACAACATCTCCCATGGGTGCAGCTCAAGCCCCTCGCAGTTCCATGCTTTAAAATGCCATGTGGCTACATACACAGTCACCTGAATCCTGTTTATCACCCGGCTAGTACACTTATTTGTTTACAGATTGCCATGTTGTTCTAGGCAGGCGACCAGTTCTTTTCAAAGCACAATGTGATTATACAGAATGCCTCTTCACAAGGCTAGGACTTGGATGAGTTGGTACAAAGCCCCACTGATTACCAGCCCCTGCATTCAATAATTGAAAGAAAGTTGCCTACATTCAGGACTACCTTGTGTTTTGTTTTTGCTTTTTTGATTGATCTTTCAGTACAGGAATGTCTTCATTGTCCCTGATATGTACAGGCAGATAACCATCAAGCTCTCCTGGCCCTGCTGTGGCTCCAGGAATTGAGCAGAGAGGTTAATGAGATCCAGTTCATCGTTATTATACTGGGCTGGGGGTATAGGTGGTGGGGAGCAGTAAAACTACAAGCTGTCCCAGTGCCAGCTGCACATCTGCACAGCGCACTGCTTGTTTCCTGCTCACATTGGTCACGGCCAATTGTCGGGTCCACTTCTCAATCCATGTCTCCATCCCCCCATTACATCTAAATGAGAACAGGCTGGTATCTCTCATCCTTAGAGATTGTAACTCCTTAAAACACACACACAGGAACACACACACAACTCAGTTGCTGTTGGCTACTCCACAGACAGAGGAACATGCATATTTGCACAAACATATACATGAGAGAGCCATCTCAGGTGCTTGTTCTGTGCTTGGTCCACTTCTCCTTAATTCTATTGTGCCCACTCCAGGCTTGATGTTCTGTTTTAAAATGTATTCTGCCTGGTCTACTTGCCTAATTCTGTCATCAACAATGTGTGGCTATTAACCACCACTGGCAAGACACGAGATCTGTGCCTACAGTAAATTGACAAAAATATATAGCCAAGCGGAAATGAGAAAAAGAAGTCAGAAAACAATGACACTTGCATATAAATTTCCTTTCTGTGAAGATGTAAATTGCATTCTGACTGAACCACAATTCGGCTAAAATGAATTTGCACCAAGGGGTTCCGAAAACACGTTTAATATAACCAAATTCTTCAGACAAACAGCTGCAAGATTAATACTAAATCACCAGTCTGAAAGCCCTCTAAATGATTTAACATAATTGTGTTATTGGGCTGGTTTCCATATTATTTATGTATCTGGTACTGTAGGACTATTTCCCAAACTTGCACAAAAAGTTGTGAAAATGTATGCAGCATTTAAACAGCATGACTTGATTATTTAGTTTGTAATCAAAATGTGTTATATAATATATATATATATATATAAGTTCTAAAGTTATACATTTGTTATAAATTCCATGATATATGAAATATAGTCACTTGCCTTCTAAGCCAGTCACACAAGCTGAGATGTTGATGGACAGGATGCATTATTAAGACAGGATTCATTCACTCATGGGTCAGGTCCTAAGTAAGAAGACTGCAGCAGTTTTACCATCAGACAGAGATTGATATTTCCCTTGTCATAAAATAATCAGACATCACAGAAAGTGACTCCAAGGCATGCCATGGAAATGTGACCCGTGCCCCACTGAAGAACAGGAACTCTCTAGTACGCTTTGTTTAATTGGGTCCATAGGGAAATCAATGTGAAAATGCTCTTCAGTATCTACAATGTAGTCCAGACTACCAGGCACCAAAGGCCACAACAGATCATATCACCTAATGTCATCACCCAGAGCTCAGTCTCTACATGCACAAAGGAAGCCGTAAAATTAATATTAAATGTGTAGTGAAGCAAGTGTGGTTTTGAATTACTTGAGCAAGTATGAAATATTTGTCATCATTACAGTTGTCACAGTGAGGTTTGAATTAGCTTTTAGTCATTGTGCCAGGAAATCAAGGTCTTCTAAAATGTAATAAAACTGATAACAGAATGAATATAGCATCACAATCAGTATTTGCACATGTTTTGTTTTCTCTAAAAATGTAATGGTGTAAAATATTTTCACAGATGGAAAGGTCTGATCAGAGTTTTATGGCTGAAAAGATGTGACATAAACTGTCTTTGCAGGATGTGCTGAATTGGTTTCCCGGCGTTTTCTGTGATCTGAAACACAAGGACATTCTAGGTCTGCCCTTGTGGCCTGCCACAATTTGGGTTAAAGGGCTCAGTGTATTTTAACGTCTGCAGCAAAATCATAAACATGACCTTCATGAAAAAAAGACACATAAGAATGGTGTAATTTTTTTATTACTGAAGGTAGACTGTTCCCAATAAATATTATTTATTTAGTAGAGCCACCTTTGATCTCACATAGATTTTCTGCTTTCAATTCAAGTTTGTTTTTTTAATTCTGTACCTGTAAAAGTATTTTTTGCTGTAATTTTGCTGCTTCTCTCTTAGATTAGATTGACAAGATAGGTCAACAGAACAAAAGAAAGTGAGACAATAGAAATGCGTGTGGTTTTGGGTGTGAATTGTCAGAGATTTCATTTAATCCACAGTTTATGTCTTTACTGATGACTTCTTATCCATCTGGTTACCTGTCACAGTTCATCTACCCCTTGCCAAGGTGGCAGGGCTTTGAGATGTTTGAAAGCATTCAGCTCTGTAGTATGATCACAGTGTAGGGGAGATCATAGGGACCTATAATAGATCTGGGAATGATTGCTTATCACCAGACCTCCCACGGATCCATTAAAGACTTGCCTGGCCATTGCTGCAGCTTAGTCACAGTTATTCCTTTGTACAGTGTCAAACTGTCAAACACTGACTGTAGGTTAAAAATGAACAAAATAACACAGAACAGAGAATAGTTGATCCCGTAATGAAACTCGAGCATGGCCAGGTAGAACACAATTTAGCAGTATAAGACACAAAAGAGCAGTCTTAGAGACCGGGCAGAGGTGAACACAGCACATCCTTTGTAAAGCCAGAACAGGATGAGAACAAGCCCAAAGGTCACAGAGTCATTTTGGGTCTTTTCTTTTGAGGTGGTGGCCCAGACTCTCATGGGATGAGTGGTTGTCTAGAGCGTCTTTAGCTCACCATAAGCCCCAGATGTTGCCCACCGTGACTGGCCCTGGCACTGCTTTACTAGCCCTGAGGACTGCAGCTGCTAAATGCCATCCACTGTAATTCATTGGTGCCTCTGCCTTTTCACAGCCATTATTCCTCCTCCCACCCCAGACCGTTGCAGGGTAGACCAATTATTTCTGTATTGCCTCTCATAAAGAACAGCTGGATCCTGAGCCACTCATGTATCTCAGAATTACAAAAAAAAAAGACAGGGATGTGAGTGTTTGTCATGGATTGCATGGACTGGTAACTAAAGAGCAAGGCTGACTTCATGGAAATTGAATGAATGCAGCAAAAGAGGGGGTGCAACTTGAGCAAGCAATTTTGGCTCAGCCTTTGGGGGCAAAAAGGAAATCAACAACAGCAGTTGCTAAGGAAGTGGCCTGCCTGTTGAACAGCAGCCTTGACAGCTGTTCATCATACCAAGATCCCCTGAGGTGCCCAGAGAGGAGGAGGGAACAAATAATGGCTGTTATTACGGCTATCTTTATTGCTCTTTCCTTTTGCCATTTCATGTCATTACAATCCACTGATCTTTTGCTTTAATCCATCGTGTCTAGAGATCTGCTTCGAGGTACCCCACTTTCACCTAACACAACCTCTGGATAGTATTGACGTTAGAGAGCAGCAGGCTGTGTGTTTAGGGGGGGTCAGCAGCAGGGGCTGATGTAAGCCGCCTCCACACATGATGGAAATCAGAGGCAAGCCGAGAATGAGGTCATGTCAAAACATTCACAGAGCGTCATGACATATTTAGAGCCGTATTGGATGTGAAACTCAATCAGAGAAAAACACAGTTTGAAAGAGTTGTCGACATTGAGCAACGTAGAAGTGCCTCCTTCATGGAAATGGAAAAAATCCAGAGAGAAAGTGGTTGTTTTTTTCTAATTCTATATTAATATAGACAATGGGTGTGGGTTCAAGGCTTGGTTGACCTCCCACCACATGTATACTCATGTATTACTCATAAACACCTCAATATGCTGTATTTATAAGGCTGCCAAGAACTAGTATATGACTTTATCCCTTACCCCAGGCTGGGTATGAATTGGCCCCTATGACTCTCAAATGGACATATTTTATATTTAAAAATCGTTAAATTAATGTTGAATTGCTGTTGAACATTTTGGCATCTAAGTTGACCTGCATCTCTCACATATAGTGTCATACCTGCACTCACCTGTGTGTACAAAGACAAGTGCAGATATAAGTGTGACTATAACATACAGTTTCACCCATTCTGGCCTTGTTAGGCTGAATTTAATGGTGTGGGTGGAGGTATTAAAAACCTCATATGGTGCTTTTCTTATCAAGAGCCAAATAGAGAGCAAGATACAATCTGTACATATTCATGCACGCTTCACACACACACACACACACACACACACACACACACACACACACGCACACACACACTGTCATCCTAGGCACTATATTATCACAGAAAAGCTCAATAAAGCCACATGAGGTCTGTAACAAAGCTTTTGGCAGACTGAGCCCTGGGCTGTGTGCTTTCCCCATGGAGCAGACCACCCTCTCTGTCCACTCCAAAAACAATATTAAAAACACACCATCCCCCGTTTCTCCCAAATTTATGGGTGTTGCAAGTCTTGCGAAGGAAGCACTTTTTGGTTGGAGTTTTTATGATCCCCTGTCTCATAAAATATGTCTTATCAGATCCTCCTCTCCGTGGAGGGAGAAGTCACTGGGGCCCTGTGTGGTTTGCATGCAAATGGGGCTACGGAGAGGTTGTTGAGCTCTAGTGGTTAATTGATTTTGTGATTAGCAGCAATTAGCTCTGATTATATCAGACTGAAGAGGACCCTTGTGGGTGATCTCAGTTGTCTTCCTCCTCTCTCCCTGTTTGTGTCACTCACTAAATATTTCTCACTCACAGGTATCCGTTCCCAACAGTGTTCAGCAGCTGCAGCAAGAAAGACCTCACGGCCAGTTTTGAAAAAGGCGTTGGGATGTGTCTGTTCAACATGCCTGAGGTCAAGGTGCTCTATGGTGGGCAGAAATGTGGCAACGGCTACGTGGAGGAGGGAGAGGAGTGTGACTGTGGAGAACTTGAGGTAAGGATGCAATAGTCATGGTAGATAAAGTGTTTTTACCCCCAGACCTATAATTCTTCAGCATTCTTGTTTTATGCCCCTTCTGCCAAAATGGAAATCTCTTTCGAAACTGCTACCCATAAATCTTTGTTAATTATTTTCCACACATTTGAGAAATGAAATAAGCAGAAGCACTAGTGGGGGTTTCTGTAGCTTTCCTCACAAAAGCATCACACAAACCAACATTTCCCAAAGCAAAAACCAATAGTTCACCTCCATTTCATTTCTTACGGCGCAGAGCTCTTGTAATGCACACACAGTCTTCAGAAAATGAGCTTAGAGATATGAGTGTGAATTTATTCATTCAATGCACTGAAGAGGTGTTTGGGAGGAGGGTTGTCTGATCGTGATACAGTTCACTGAGAGGAAACATCGCTGACAGCTTCACCCTGTCAACTCGTGAATTATTTAAATGAATCTGCATTGGCATGCACATACATAATGGTGGCACACGTTGCAAACTGCTGTGACTGTAGGATGATAAAACAGTTCATCATGATGCAACTGACAATCAGCAGAGGCAGGCTGACAATAACAGAATTATGAAATATGAAGGAGACACATATTTGGAAGGATATTTTGAGTTATATAATAGCCTATGTGACAGAATGCGTTGTTGTCTTGTGCGATTTGTTTACACCTTTATTCCCAGCGAATCTTTTGGTGAGCGATTCAAGCTTCAGCTAGGGTCAGGCTGAAAGTGGCCTTGTCCTTCAAGACAAAGAACTGACATAAGCCCCGCAGGCCTGAGCCAGCAGCGATAATAAAGCTCTCCACAGAGTTGAGCGGCATCATGCCAACCCAGGCCAGATCAGAGTGCTCAGACAGCACCTCTCTCCGCCATTAAAAAGCCTCATTAAAAAGCCTGGATCCTATTCCTCACAATCACAGGCTACTTCTTTTCAGTGCGACTCCTCCGCCTCCTTTGGCCCCGGGGACCATGGGAAAGGCCCTTAATGGTCTTCAGGCTGAAAGAAGTTCTGGAAGGCCCATCATGTCAGCTGCGTCCCCTGCCAGCTCCATCCATCTACTTCCTCCCCACTCTTACTGCACTCGGCTGTACAGTCTGTTCAGACCGCGGCTTAATGGCAAGAGGGAGAGAGCTGGCCCTCGGGGGTCCAGTCAGCCTTGCCTCTGTGTGAGATCATACATGCACAAGCATACATACACATGCATACAGATCTTCTGCACTGAGCCTTGATTGGATGCTAGCGTCCCTCTGTATCAGATGGCAGAGAGTTGCTGATTGGTGCAGGGCATGGCTCATGATAAAGGCTAACATGAAACAGATGGACCTCCATGGTGAGATCGGAAATGTTAGAGGGATGGTATGGTGCAGATACTGTGTGTCTCCCTCTCTTCACTGCAAAAAGGGCAATTCAAGAATATTTCGATGTACTTTTTTAGAATAATATCAAATAAATAATCTTATCAACCACCATCAACATTCGATTATTAAAGAGTAATTTAACACAGAGCTGAAAAGCAATGTTTCACCTCTGACCACAGCCAGCATATCACTGATGGGAGTGGACAGAAGTGTGCTGTGTTCATATTTGTAACCTAACAGTGATATCACCAGATTCTGGGGTACAACTGTACATCACTGCAGCAAGGTGAGAAGGTAAACCACTGGAGGTCACCAAAGACAAGATTTTCTGGGAGTGTTAAGTAACTCTTTAAACTTCAAACTCTTAGAAGGATGTTCAATATGTATGGGTTTAATTCCTGACAGGTCACTGCACCATTTTCCCCTACCTCAACAGAGGTTGCGTGATTGATGATGAAGCTCCTCACCCTGTAGCATGTATGGATACAAAAGAATTTAAGTCTTCTTTTCATAATTCCTACATTGAGCTGAATTAAGAGAATCTTTGTCTTGAGTTTTTTGTTTGATACTAGCCAGTTTCTCTACATTACACAATATTTTGCTTGTTTATCCAAGAGATTTTGTTTGCAGTGGGTCCATTTCTTTTTTCTTCTCCAAATTTTTCTATTTCCTTCACCAGCTCATAGTTCCAGGGATTTGAATGAACTTGTAAGACCTGTCAGATAGAAACTGCTCTTTCCTTTCCTCTGCCAGGTTTTTAAGTTGCTATGGAACACAATCCTGCTAGGGCTGCATCCTGATAACAAAGCCTGAGCATATACTCTGCAGTGAAACACGATCTCTTTGTGCTGAGTTAATTCTTCTTTACTTTTATTCCCCCCCACTTACATTCCATTTCTCTGCTCGCCTTCTTTTTTCTTTACTTTTCCATCTGAAGGAATGTATGAATCCCTGCTGCAACGCTACTACCTGCACCTTGAAGGGGGATGCTGTGTGTGCACATGGACAGTGCTGCCAGGACTGTCAGGTAGGATGTATACTGATTAGCCAGACATGACACAGTTTTTACACAGGCATCTTGAATATCTTAAATCTTACATCAGCACCTTTGTCAAAATTCTCTAGTTTTTTTTTCTTTTTTTGTGTTTGTTGTTGATGTTTTTTGTCCTAATGACTATACTTGCTGTCAACATTCAAATGCAGCTGAAGCCAGCAGGCACTCCATGCCGTGAATCCAGTAACTCTTGCGATCTCCCTGAGTTCTGCACCGGTACCAGCCCTCACTGCCCTTCCAACATCTACCTGCATGATGGCCACGCCTGCCACAACGTGGATGGTTACTGTTATAATGGCATCTGCCAGACTCATGAGCAGCAATGTATCACGCTGTGGGGCCAAGGTAGGTGGAAGCCCCCATGCTGGCTCTCACTGCTCGTGATTGGTTCAGTAGCAGTCAACAGCTTTTTAAGGTGTTTCATTGTGTTCTGTAGGAGCAAAGCCTGCTCCGGGAATCTGCTTTCAAAGGGTCAACTCAGCAGGAGACCCCTATGGCAACTGTGGCAAGGACTCCAAAGGCTCCTTCGCCAAATGTGAACCACGGTAAGACGTCTTGACATTCCCATGGAAACCAGTTAATGCATTTAATTGCCAGTTGTGGAAAGCAGTGAAGGGCATATACTGTAATTACTCTGCATAAAGAAATTGTCCTTGATATGAGTAACTGGACACTCTTACATGACAGGAGTTTTTCGATGCTAGAGACTGAAATAGAAGCCATTGACTAGTGCGGAAACAATGAATTTATTCATTAATTAGCTTTTTTTTTTTATTTGATGCCAGCCTCTAAAATCTTCCTTGTTTTATACTGTGGTAAATTGCATATCTTTGTGTACTTGACTGTTTGTATGATTAAACAAGAAATTTAAAGACGTCTTTCTTTACGGCTTTCTTCATAATTTTCTGTCAATTTATCGACACAACTATAAACCCAAAACGTTAACCACTAGTAATAATTAGTTATTTAGTTGCAGCCCTAATTGAAGGTTATAGTCACTTGGTGGCATGCAGAGAGATACAAAATCTCTCAGGTTATGGTCTGAAAACAGCACAAACAAGCTGCCTGTCCTGCAGTTTCCCTAATTGGAAACCAGGAGTGAGAGAAAAAAATGATTGCATATGTATACACATTTGGGAAAACGGTGACATGTTATTCAATTATCACATTGTTATTCTCCCTGTTGTTCATTCTGTTTACAGAGATGCTAAATGTGGCAAAATCCAGTGTCAAGGTGGAGCTAACCGCCCAGTAATTGGTACCAACGCTGTTTCCATAGAAACAAACATCCCCTTGCAGGAAGGGGGAAGGATACTGTGCCGTGGTACACATGTCTACTTGGGTGATGACATGCCGGACCCCGGCTTGGTCCTGACGGGGACCAAGTGTGGAGATGGAATGGTGAGATGTTATAGATACACGTGCAACCGCAAATTGTTCCAACGTTTAACTGACTCATTAGCAGTAGTGAAAAGTAACAAAGTCCAATATTAGGGCACTTGTACTCATCCCATTTTCTGCCACATTATATGTCTATATTTCTACTCTACAAAATAATGTGCTTCTTATTCCACTACATTAATCTGGTGGCTGGATTTGGTTGCTTTACAAATTAAGATTTTATAAAAGGTCAGCTTTTAAAATCTGATACCTTGTTATGGATTAAACCACTATAAAGTATATAAAGTAATAAGAATTTGAATTATCTACAACTATAATATTGTAAAATGTACTCTAATTAATAATATGGCACCATTAAAATAAGTGAAATGTGACCTCTGCACAAAACCTGCATTAGAAAGTGCTTCACAATTGATAGAATATAAATTAAGTACATATAAATAAAAACATACATAAAAAAGCACTCAATAGAAAGAATGCATTTGAATAAATAAATAAACCAAAGACAAGTTAATTTAAAAAGCCTAAGATCACTTTATTTTTACATACTTTTACTTAAGTAAGTACACAACAAGTCTTTGTTACACAATACAATACAATACTCACCTGCCCATATGCACATTGAAAGACTTACTGGCTGTCATTTCTCCTCTCAACACAGTAAAAAAATCCCTTTAAATGTTTTTAAATTTTTAGCCCAATATTTCCTCTTTGTGTTTCCTCGGACAGTTATTCCTTTTTGAGGTTCAGTGGAGGGATATTAACACAAAGGTACTATGCTAATCTTTTAACTTGAAGATAGCCTCTTTATTTGACTAACTCAGACTTTGCACATAATGGGGACTGCTGTCTCAGTGTACATATGGGCATGCAAGCATTGTTTTAAGACAGACTTAGAAAACTGTGAATCTATCCTTTAAGTGAAGGATTCAAATACCTCTACCACCACTGTTAAATAGCAATGGTAGCTATCTGTAAGAGTGTGTGAAAGCACAATATAAATATATTACCCAAATGCTAGGAAATAAGAGTGGAAAAAGTGATGTGGAGTGACAGGCCATGACTAAGACGTTCTCAGAAGTTCTTCAGGGTGTGTCCTGTCATTTCAGACTTGCACAACCTCAGACACTTAATTGACTTACCATTATTCAGTCCTTTTGGCATCTTCCACTGGTCATCAATTCAGCCATTGGTCACTTCAATGATACAGTTACTCCATTTAGTCTAATTTACTTTTCTATGAGCCTCCACCCTTAAGGAGGATCCAGCCTCAGCCCTCATCTGTCAAGGGTTCTGGCAGTACATTGCCCGGTGTTGCCAAGTTCATCTTCACATTCAGCCTGGATATATTTGGGTGTGGTGCCTTTAAGGAGCACAGAGTACACATCCTCTAACTTTTAAAGAGCATCTTTAATACATTCTTGAAAAATCCCATTGTTAACATGATTATATTTCATGGAATGCTGTTTTATAGCTGAAGTGGTTTGTCGGTGGCAAATTAAAAGAAATAGAAGGATGGATCTGTTGGTCTTCTCCCTTAAAAGATTAAAGGGTTTAGAATATTACTGAAGTCCTCTTTCAGCTCACACTGTCAATTTTTAATGTCTTTGTCTGCTTCAGATGTGTCTGAATCGTCAGTGCCAGAACGTCAGTGTTTTTGGTGTGCATGAGTGCTCAGCCAAGTGCAGTGGTCGAGGGGTGAGTAGCACAGCAACTTTCATCCTATTGCAGTGTTGTGAGGACCTGAGGGGATAGCTGTCCATCTCAAACCAGTCTCCACCCAGATCTTTTGTTTACTTAATATCCTTTTCCCCCCCTCGCACAGAAACTCATTTTGGCTCCAATATGTTAAAAATGCCCAGTATACGGTGGGTAGGGAGCTTTTACAATGCCTTGCAATCAATCATTCTGGATGCTGAAAGGTTCAATCAATTAGATATAATGGCTTCATTTATGCTCAGCTTTAAGTGCCATTCATCATACTCTCAGGCAGTCGTCCTTGTCCCAACAACAGTGTTGAAATCTGAAGGCCAGGCTTTATTTGACCAAAACGCTAGGAGCAGTGACACACAGTTTGACTTTGAGTTTGGGAGCGTGGATATTGGATTTTTTTAAATGCCACCCATCAAACGTCTATGGGTGGTCCTGCTTGAGATGACAAATGTGGCTTTGTGGTATTACCCTTAGGTTCACTGATAGGTCCCAGAGGCCTTGACTGTGACTGGTTTAAATTTCTCCTTCATCGAAGCTACAGAGGAAACAGTTTTTACTGTCTCTTAAAATGAAACATCTCCAGTTAATATACGGTCATATTTGTTTGTCTAGTTCCAATTAAGACATATCTATAAAGCTCAAAGGACTGTTTTACTCACAGAAATAAAAGGATGTTGCTCCTCTAGGAGACAGGGCACCCCTGCATGCACAGATTAGATCAAGATGTTGCCTTGGAAAGAGGCCCTCACCTGTTCCATATTATCCTGCTAGGGAATCCTCTCAGACTTTACTATTCCTCAACTCTGCAGGACAGGAAGACAATACAAAGAGAGAGATTAAAATGTGGTACAAGGCAAAAAGTCTGCTACGGTTTTTATACCAGACATCTTGTGGAGCCTGGCTGTGCTGGCTGGTGGTTGACTCTGTCTACTTACATGCAGCATCTGCATTATGAGTATTTATACTGTACTTTATACTGTCTTTATACTGTAGTGTCAAGAGCTGAACCAATGCGGAACAATGCTTTGCAGAAAATGAATTGAGAACAATTCTGATTAACTATTAAAGTTATTTCTCAAGCACAAATTCCAAACATTTATGGATTTCAGATTGTCAATTGTGAGAATCTGCTGCTTTTTGATGAGCATTGTTTCTCTACTTTTTGAAATTCTCTAGAGTTATTATGTTGTAGTAAAAAGAAATGAGTAGATTAATCCATAATGACCCATTTAAACCATTTATCACCTGTTAAGTGTATGCACTGTAGCCTGATGAGTGGAGAAGATGCATATTAAGTGTATTACATTTAAATATATTAAATATTAAATATTTGGCAATTACTCAGACATAGCCCAAAAAAGACTTAGCTGATGACTGTATTTTGGGATTCTAACAGTCCTTTTAATATACTGCAGGTGTGCAACAATAACAAGAACTGTCACTGTGAGGCTCACTGGGCGCCTCCATTCTGTGACAAGGCCGGTTTCGGAGGGAGTGTGGACAGTGGCCCTGTCAGATTAGCAGGTAAGTCAATAGTTGCAACTCCAGTACATCAAATGACAGATTTTTTGTAGCTTGGGACATGTTATGTTTTGGTCTTGGGCAGGGAATGCAGGAGCATTACAATAATATATCAATATATCAATGACTCTTGCTCTGGAACAAAGTGAATCTTAGGAGTCCTAAAACTACGGTTTTCTCAACAAAACAATGTTTTTCAAGAAAAGTATAAAGAATTCCACAAAAAAACATAAAAGATTGTTTACAGATACAGTAACTAGCACCAGAACACTTTTGTCTCTGAGACTACCTATTGTTTCCCTTGAGCAGACAGCAGGAATCTGACAGTGGGCATCCTGGTGGCTCTCCTTACTGTCCTGGGAGCCGGCCTGATCATCTGCATCAAGAGAAAATCTCTACTGGGGCTGCTCTTCACCAGTAAAAAGAACCCGATTGAGAAGCTCAGGTGCTTTTTTTCAAAACCTAAAAAAATTAAATCATTTGTAAATATCATGGAAGATTTATATAATGTCTCCATCATAAAATTCCAGATCCGTAAGCGCTGCAATCAGGAGACCCGCTGCTCCTAACCAGCCTCCATCAGCGAGCACGGCGTCTCCATCTCGACCAGCCCCGCCTCTGCCACACAGCGCCACCATCTTCAAGGTCACTAGATTGCACGTCTTTGTTTGACAGGACCACTACAAACTAGACATTTTATGCAGATAGACAAGACTTTTGTACAGAGGTTCACCAGCAGATAATCCATGCTATAATATTATTCACAAATCATTCTCAGCAGGATTGACGTGTTGTTTTCACACAAATGGCAGCTCATTCAAATCCAATTAAATCTTCCGTCTCTTTGTGGACATGTGGAGGAGGTAGTGATAACGGCATGAGCATTGTGTCCGCGACTCTTGCTTACAGTTATTGTCATTAACAGCTGCCTGGTACGAAAGAAATTGATTTATCTGCACATTCTCTGCATGAGGAATGTTGATGCAGTGGCTTACTTGAGGTATAAAGTCATCCTATTACTGATAATTGCAAGACAGAGCAGGGATTTTGCTGTAATGACTTGTGTGCCTATATCACTGTGCGCCTTGACTACTCTATTGCCGCCCTGACATGCTTTGTAATGGCAAGAGACCTGTGATCGATTGAGTTAGGGGTGCTGAAATAAAAGGAGCCGTGTCAGAATTGACATTCGCGCTGCATGGTAGAACATTAGTGAGGCAAGCTGTTGTGCATTACCATGGGATTGGTGTTTTCAGTTAGTAGCATGTGGTTCTCATTTGGGGTCAACGGTAAGAAGAGAGAGGATGTAAGGCTGTTTGATGTAAGCACAGTGCAGGTGAGGTCATTTTCCAGTTGTCGGGAGCTGTGTTCAACTGCCGCATGAGGGCATGTGTGCGTGACTTTGTGTGTGTTGCATTGTGTGCACACATCTGGCCAGGTCTACACACTAGGCGGACTCATATTTTGGCACCCTTCTATGTCTGATCCGTCTCAATGGGAGTGTGTGTGGGCTCTTTCGCTGTGTCCACCTTAGAATGAGGCCAGGCGGGTGCTTATGGCACAGTCTTGGTCTTTCCCTTTGATAGGTTACCTGAAGAGAAGTTGTGAATAGTGACCAGGCAAGTGGGATTGTTTGATTTATACACCTTTGACAGCATCAGGAAGAATGGTAGAGGAAGAGGAGGAGAATAACAAGACTGTTTCTGATAGGAAGCAGACCGTTTTTCTCCTGAGTGACTCTTCTGGTTCTGTCTTTCATCTTTTCTGCAGCCTCCTTACCGGGGGCCAGAGGCGGTGCTCCCATCAGCCCCCTACCCCTCCCACAGCCTACGCAGACTGCCCCAGTGCCCTCCAGTTCACCTCAGCCACCCTGTCCCGCTGTCTCTCACCCTGTCCCTCTCCTCTGGCCCTGGGCAGCCAAGACCCCCGGTTCCTCCACCTCACATTCATGTCATGCCCAGGGGGGCGTCGTTTCGCAGTGCATCACGCCACAACTCCTGCAGGATGGTCATGGTGAGTGAGTTTGCTGTTCCCTCAGTTGGAAACATTTTATTTGATGATGTTACTCACTGCAATTTCTCCGCTGGGTCTGGGGAGCTTTTACTCACTACAACAGCCTATAATGCCTAACCTGGGAAATGATGCTGTTCATTGCACCTTCAGATGGATGTGATGCCGACCATTTTCATGGTTCTTTTGTGTCTTATATATGTATATGCATGTTGACAGTTATGCACAGTCTCATAAAAATAACGAGGTTAATACAGGAGCTAGCGTCATCCAAGCGAGACTTCAATTCTACAATACAAACCACCACATAAATAATTAAAATGGAGCCAGACTTGTAGAGTGGGGAGACGGAAAAAGATGAAACAGCAATTGGGGTGAGCAAGTATATCCAAATATCACAAGGTGGTAAATTTGCTGCCAGTAGTATTCCATGGAGTTTAGTTATGGCATTGCAGGCTGTCAAAGTTGAGGGTAAGAGAAAGCCAGAGGTTTGTAGTGTTAAATCCCTCTCACTCAGTGATTCTCAAAGACTCTTATTTGCCTTTAATCCAGTTTGACTTGTACTCAGTGGGCAAGTGAGGCAGTGAGACCCAAAGAGAGAGAGAGAGGACGGAACAACAGAAAGACAAAGTGGTAAAGAGACAGAGGGGAGTCTTAATAATGATTATCAAAGATAATCAATAAAAAATGCAATAAAAGCCTGAATCTGGAATCTTGCTGCTTTGGAAAAACTGTAACAGTATTTGTTTTATATTTTCAGACATTTTTATCAATTAATCAACAAAATAATTAAGCAATGTATCACTAATAAAAATAATCATTAGTTGTAGCTCTGAAAGGGGCAAAAGGATGAAAAATCAGCAATGAGTTCCAGCCTGAAATTAGTCCCGAGTTGACTGTAACTTATGTCAGGGATCACAGTCCAGCCTTTAAGGACAGCACTGGAAATTACGTCACAACGGAGCTTAGGTCAAAGCGATGCCACATCAGGCTAATTAGAGGTGTGTTAAACACATACTGACATTTTAGTCTTGTTCAGATTTAATGGAGGGGGTCACAGAGAAGGTAAGGATTTAAAACAAAACACTGTTCTGGAGCTAATAAACATTTTGACAGCATATGATAAATATATGAATATATCAGCATTCCATGTGTGTTCTATTACTGTACTTTTTTGTACACTATTTATTCATTAGGGACAGTTCACATTAATGGTCATGGTAACATAATTTTAACCCTTCTATTTATCATTGATAAGCATGACATAAATACTTAAATGGGTAATGATAAAGTGAAGTGTTACTATGGAAATCATTGTGATATAAATATGCCATATTTAGCATCTGCAGTTTATGCATATTAAAGAAAAATGCAGGCAACAACACTGAAGAACATAAAGCAATATACAGCATGATTGCTAGTATATTCTGCTTCAGAGTATTAACTATAGTTTCCAGAGCCATTTGAATAAAAAAATCATTCAGTTTTACAGGTTCTTAGGTTATCATACACCTGTATAGCAGGTGAAGTGCATCAGTTCTTGGCAGTGTTGCGACCTCAGGAAGTAGATTTTCCCTCTCAGCTGTTTCTATTTAATGTCAAAGTGTGAAACTGAAAGTGATGCCTGTTTGCAGCAGATTTCACCAACAGTATCTTCAGCAGCTGTTTGGCAGCTCCAAGAAGTTGACAAAGCCATTTTTTTCTCCCTACAGTGAAAGCTCTCTGCTGGGGGCATGGGAGCATTGTCTAATGGGAAAGCTGGAGCCAGTAGATTTGAGTTTGTGGGTTCAGTTATTCTAAGTTTAAGCTGCAGTAACACTTTGTGTCTATTAATGACCTTATAAGACACGCTCTTTTAATTTGCCCCTATTTCATTTTACTACCATTTGGTACTGTTCTGATATTTTTGGATGGAGTTCAAGTGGGCCCCATTGCCTGACAGTATTGGCTGTCAATGTGATGAATTAGCAGCAGCACTACAGTAGTTCAGATAGTCATGATACTTGACCTTATGGGTGCAAAGGAGAGACATATCCAGCAATATAGAGACTTCATTGACAGCATACAGTTTTTAATAAAAACATTCAATTAGTGTATCAAATTTGACTTTGACAGAGGAATTATGTTGTGAATCGGCAGACCCGATTCCATGGGTGAGTGAGGTCTTGAGATTGTTTGGCTCCTTCCTCACCAATGTTTAAGGAGGCTTCTCTCCAACCAAGGAGAAGAGGAGGAAGGGAATGGAGACCAGATGGGGGCTAGGTAGCAGGCCTTTATCATGATCTCAGTCTTCTAGAGAAGATTAAAACCACATGACAGCTCCTCTCATCGAGTTGCATGGGCAGGGCTGTCCCGATGCATGAGAAAGGGAGGACACTGCAAGCTGACCTGAGCTGTGATTGTCTGACTGTGAGTGCCACCTGGTGGGGATTCTCAGTTATCATTTCGATGTGTCTGTTCTCTGTCAGGAGTCAGAGAAGCCCAGTCCTCCTCAGAAACCCCTTCCTGCCGATCCAAGGAGCTCTCGTGTGGTTCGAAGTCCCTCTGTAGTCCAAGGGCCCTCTGCTGTTTGTGGCCCTGCACCAATACCTGGTGCACCCAGACCTTTGCGCCCTGTCCCACATCCCAAAAGGTGAGTCCCAAACTTCACCCGATTTATTTAAAAACAACACTGAAGCTGGTTTCACTCACCGTCTGATTATTTGTTCCACTTTTTCTCTCTCCTCTAGACCGAGTCCCAAGCAACCTCCAACACTACCAAAGCCTTGCATAATTGCCGTCAAATACAGCAGCTGAGACTTTGGCCAGAAGGGACATTGTTGTGATAAGACACTAAGAAATTTGCACTATGAAAACTCTTAAAAAGATGGTGGCTTCTCTGAGTTTTGAATCAGAAGATCTGCCGTGTCCCTTTGGTGCTCTGTGTCTGAGTGGTGCTACGAGTCTGAGCTCAGGTACATGTAAAGTATTTATATTCTGTATTTATTGCCACGCAGTGCACTGTGCCAGACACTTTTACTACACGGTAGCAACTTTGAATTTAAAATTTGTGTTTTGCATCAGTTTCACATTTTCCTTTTCATATCAATTGATTATTATCAAAGAGAATAATGGGAGATTGAAAAAAAAAGCCAATCTGTGAAATTATTGATTGCAGAAATGTTTTTGTGAAATGTGTTTTAATGAAGGGAACCCTTTACATTGTGGTTTTGTTCTGTATACTGCAGGAGGAGTTTAAAAAAAGAGTATTGTGCAATGACAGATGAGAACAGAGAAAGCTTCAGACAACACTTGTAGTTCACTTGGAACGCAATGGGGTTTTTCTTGAAGGGTAATGCAGCTTTGAGCCAGTCTGACGAGGCTTGAAACAACCGCAGAAAAATTTAAAAAAAAGTAGTATTACTGCAACAGTTCTGCAACAGTTCTGTTTTTCACCGACAGCTGATGTTCAGGTCTGTTTCCTCTGCATTTATATTTTGGAAAGGTAACAAGCTGAATTATGAAATGTCACTGATTTGCCATTTTCGTTTCATTAACAAGCCTCAAGAAGCTCACTTGAGGGATCTGGGTACCGAGGTTTGAACTGAACAGAGATCTAAAATGAGCCGATATCAAGGAAACGTTCATCCCTCAGAGAGAGTAAACTTCTCTGAAATATTGCTCTGCTAAAGGTCATGTGTGTTTTTGAGTATTTCCCTCCGTGCCTGTCTACACCGAGGATTCTGTGTGAAACTGTGATTAAATCACAGAATCACTGAGGACTTTCCTAATGCTGTGGCTATACAGGCGTCATGGAGGCACTCACATGTAAACAGCCAGCGTCTGGCTATACAGTGTTCATGTGTCGATTTTAAATCATGTTTTTTCTGTGATGGGAAAGGACAGATTCAACTGACAAGGACACTGAAGTTAAGTTTAGTGGTTACTCAGTGTACACTGAGCCACCAATAGCTGCAGCAGTTATTTCATTTTCTATTTTTTGTACCTTTTTAATTTGGCTATTAAGACTAGTTTTTTTAAACATGCCAGATACTAAATCCTGCAGAAATTAGATTTGTGGTAATTGATTTAGCAGTTTTATTAATTTTGCAGTATTATTTTTACTGGATTGCAATGCAGCGCATATACATTCGCACTGAGCAGCATTTCCTTTAAGCACAGCTTTTCTTCACAAATATGTAGGCTGAAAACTGACTTTGGACTTTTGTTACTTTTGATACTGTTATCTTTTTAATACTGCACTAGTTTTACATCCATTGCTTTGTTTACTTTGCTTTTTCAATGCTATGTATCCATGTACTAATAGACAGTATTTGAGTCCAGTCACCTGACTGTACGTTATGTGCAAATGTTCTCATATGTCGTGTTACAGGTGAACACATTTCCATGGAGAATGCTTTTTTTATATAATGATTGTTTGATACAGCATATGTAAAGAAAACACTTAAAGTGTCAGTGTCTGGTCATGGTATTTTGAACACTCAAGCAGTATTAGTAAAACTGTTTTTTAAACACTGAAGAAAATGTTTCGTATTGATTTGTGTTGCACTGCATGCATGTTTCAAGCAAGACAGTTCATCAATTACATGAGAGGAACAGTAAATATTTCTATGTTAAATGCCCTTTTGAATGTTAGGAAGCACACAAACATTGGCAATTTTACTTTAGCAGTCCTGAAAAAAACAGACATATTTCCTACTGTACTATTAAACTACAATAGCATTGCATGTCAAAAGTAACCTTTTTCCAAAGAGCCTCTGGGATTTATTTTATTCTTGAGCCAAACTGCAACCGGAAGATTGAACATTTTACAGCAGTCGTTATTTTCAGGAAGGTTTGAGTTTTAAAATTGGTTTAACTATTTAACACTGACATCTGAAGCAGCCTATCTTATTTCAACAGTCTGAGTCTTTCTCTAAAAGCAGTTTGACAAGATCTTTCTAAGGAATACAAATACTGCTTCAATCAATACAGGTGTGGGATTGTGTGTTCATTGTTGCCTATCAAGATTCACTGGTGTTGATCTGGTGAAGTCAGGTCTGTGTTTGTGTGTGTGTGTGTGTGTGTGTGTGTGTGTGTGTGTGTGTGTGTGTGTGTGTGTGTGTGTGTGTGTGTGTGTGTGTGTGTGGAGGTGGGGTGAGGGTGGGGGATGGGGGAATAAAAGGATGTTCAACAACAAAACAACAGTATGGGGGAAAAAATCCTTTGCTAATGAGAAATCGATGCAAGTCCAGATGATAACAAGGACATACAGTGTGTCACTGATGAGGAGCTTTTGAAACCAGCCTCAGCCAATATCATCAAGTCACAGTTCCACACAGATTGCATTTGTCAACAAACAGGGAGGGGGTTGGGATGCAAAGGCCAAAAATGTTTTTTCTTTAAATAGACATGTAGGTTTACTAAATTCTATGTTTACCATTGAATATACTGAATGTTAAATCACTTACCTACAGTTGTAAAAGATAATTTACTTAAAGTTCCCCTCCACTCAAAAATATCAGTCATATATTGTTTTTTTCTTTCTACAGTTGAATGTTTGAGCTTTGCTGTGCAGAATAGTGTATGTGCAGTTTGACCCTAGAACATTCATCTGCTGAAAGTGGAAAGTTTCTATCTGCTCGTTGAAAATCAGATTTTTAAGAGGCAGGATATGTGACATCACAAATAGTTTATAACCTAATCCTGGTCCAATATTATACTACTATACTACACTGAAAATGGACTTTACAGTGAAGTAGTAAACACCAGCAGTTCAACTTATATGTATAGGTTCTGGATTTTTAATGGAGAAGGAGTAGATTTCAAATATTTTAACAGGATTATTCATATCAGATACAAATAATTTTTCAAAGTAGAAAAATGTATATACTTAAAACATAGTCTAGAAGTTATCTTTTTGTCCTGAATTCAAAATGTTACTAAAAGTACATTAGTATTATCAGCAAAATGTAAAAGTACTCATTGTGTTATTTATTATAGAATATTATATAATGCTGTTATTATCACTAGAATACATGTTGCAAAATTGTATGTGGAGCCGCTTTTAGAAACTTTACTGAGTAGGTTAGCCTATCGGGACTGTGAGGACTGTTACGACCGAACAGCTCCCCCTTGTGGAGAAGTTGCAGCCTGCAAAAGGTGAATGGGTGAACTGTTTGAGTGAGTTCAAATAGTTCTATTTTTTTATTTTATTTATATGTCTCATAATTTTTTTATACTTAAAGATACTATATGTATGGCTTAGTATCTCATAATTATGAAGGAAGGAAAATACTCATTGGATTTATGGATGTATCTGTTCATTTTCAAATTGCATGAGAAAAATAATATTTTATTAGGGATTTGATATTTGGGAACATCACCGTCATAGTCCTCGCTACTTTACACATGCTTATTTAGCAGCGATAAGCAGGCGATTATAACAGGCTCGCGGACATTGCTCAGTGGTGTACATGCAAATGAAAACACGTGTGAAGCCACGCTGGGGTGAAATTACGCGCCGGTGCGCACTATGCGTCAGCCAGCTCCAAACAGAACAACTTCAAACTTTGAACAGCTCAATAAATATAGTTTTAGCAATTCAAAAGGTTCTGATTATTAATCACGTGCTCACGTCCAAGTGCGCGAGTATAGGATATGTTGTAGTCTGCAGACTGGACGTAAACTGAATGGGTTTTTGAATATTTCCGATAAAAAAAAACAACTAAATGGAGCCATAGCTGGAGTGGGTGGAAAAATCTTTGTGCGCTCCTGTCCGGATTAACAAATATATGTGTCATGTCGGAGGTAAATAATTCAGCAGAGCCTGACATTTCCCCTGAAAGTGAGGAATGTCCCGCAGAAGATTCATTTGGCTTTGGAGATGATCTGGAGTTAAATCAGTTCGATGGATTGCCCTTTTCCTCGCGTTACTACAAATTACTGAAAGAGAGGAAGACTCTGTCAGTCTGGAAAGTCAGGAGCGAGTTTGAAGATTCTCTGGTAAATAACCAACTGGTTATTGTGTCTGGGACAGCAAAGACTGGGAGGAGTACACAGGTAAGCCTATTATGATCAATAATATGCATATCTTGTTAGGAAATAAGGACTTAGGATGTCTTTCAGAAGGATTTTATTATAAAAAAGTTCACATTCAACTTTTTCAGCATTTATTTTCAAGGGAAGTAGTTGCCCTCCTTTATATAGTTACATATAATCTGAGTTTGGAGCTATGGGGCATTAGAGTTAAAGAATAGTGCATCTTCCTGTGCTTTTCCGTCCTTTTTTCTATTTAGGGACATTCTGACTTCGTTATGACTGAACCCAAATACCAAAGCATAACCCAATTTGTATGACTTGCATGTAGTTTGTTGCCACATGCTCAGTACAGCCTATTCAGTCAAGAGCAAATTTGAGGTCTACTCCCCTTGATTTCATTTAAATGTGAAGTAAAGCCTTTCAGTTGTTTTTTTTTTTCTGCTCAACATTGCCATGTTTATCTACTGAACAGCACAACTTCTCTCCCTGACATAGTTTTGTTCCTGTGACATTTTTTTTTTCACTTTGACATGTGGAAGAAATACCATTATGTGAGCTTGTGTGAATAGGCTGCCCAGCTCAGCAGATGCTGTTGTGTCACTGTGAGGCTGTCCAAGCTGCAGCCTGCCTGCCTGACAGTCGAGCTTCACAAAGGCTCCAGCAGGGGTGTTAGGGGACCTCCTGCTGCTAAGCCCTGATCCGCTGGAGCCGCCTCATGCTGCCAAAGCAATTTTGCATTATGAGCGATAATACCATAGGATATCTCCTGTCACTGTTTGTTTTGCTGTGTGCTTAACAAAAGCTGTTGTTACGACCCTGAAAGGATGTTTGCCACTGAAAACTGAATTTATGTGGATATATAATAATGAGAATCAGTACCCCGAAACACTGTCAAGACATTGAAATGAAATTTGAAACAACATTTAGTGATTTTCTTTTTCAGATCCCTCAGTGGTGTGCAGAGTTCTGTCTGTCTGCCCAGTACCAGCACGGCATGGTTGTGTGCACGCAGACCAACAGACAGCAGGCTGTAGATCTGGCCTTGCGTGTGGCTGATGAAATGGATGTCAACATAGGCCATGAAGTGGGTTACACTATCCCTCTGGAGACCTGCTGTTCCTCCGACACTGTTCTGAGGTTTGTTGACGAGCTCTCAGTTTAACAGACTGCATCAGCACACTTCAGTGACATTTTAATGTCATCCACAAAACGTCTCTGTCACTTTGAATCTTTTCCTTGCCTGTGCTTTTCATTCACATCATGGATGGCGCACACACAGAAGATTCTGCTTCAGTTTAGATGAAGTGGGCGACTTTCAAAGTGTTCATCGTCATATATCAAAATATCTCCTTGTGACGGAACAATATCAGTCATTTATTTCACTGGTTCCAGCTTCTCAAATATGCGCCCCTGCTCATTTCTGTCATTTTATAGAGTACACAATCAATTCATCCAATGCCTAAAATGGATGAGTACCCTTCCTTCTTATTGAGTTCTGCCATCTCTGGTGAGGATGGTTGGTTTCACTGAGGTTACCAAGGTCAGGACCTTGGTGTTTCTTCCAAGTGGTATTCAATACAAGTAGTGAAATAACTGCCTAAAAATAACTAGTTTGATGCTTTGATGCATGCCCAAAACTTCCCTAGCAAGTTTAGTTTTTGGACTAAATCTTATATGAAGCTAGCTTTTTCGGTCCAATTCAGGCACTGAATTTGTCATTAAAAAGAATTCATAGATTAACCAATAATGAAAAGAGTCAGCTGTAAATGTCAGCTCTCATTTATTTCACTTTGTAAACAATGCCTATACTCATACTCAGTAAGTGTGCTATACCATATCTTTCTCTTTGCACAAAAGCAATACAATGCAGAATTTCTCAATTTACTACACTATATATTGCTACAGGCAGCTTATTTTTGGAAAGTTTTTTTCATTTGTTGCTGTGTCATTAATGGAGTTTGCTGACTGTATGACTCTACTTGTGCTACTGTTACACTATGCTTTATATCTTGGATACTTTTTAGTGGTTTTATCACAAAAGTAAGGCAAGACATAAACACACCAAACCTCAGCAAGAGGGTGCTTTAGTCAGTATTCCATGATGTCTTTAAAGCAACCTACTCCAGAAAATTGTGATAAATGTAGCTATTGGCCTGAAGTCTCTACTTACTACTTACATAGTACTTCAAATAATACCTCCACTATTAACCCCTCAGACGGCTTTTATCACTCAGGTACTGCACTGACGATATGCTGCTGAGAGAGATGATGTCGGACCCTTTTCTGGAGCACTACGGGGTCATTATTATTGACCAGGCCCATGAGAGGACAGTTAGCACAGACATACTGCTGGGTCTCCTCAGGGACATCCTGCTGCAGAGGCCTGAGCTCAGAGTGGTGGTCCTCACCATCCCGCCCATGTCTGACAAGTTGCTCAGCCACTACGGCAGCGTCCCACTCATCAGTCTGGAGGCCTCGTCTCCTGCCGAGGTGGTCCACAACAATAGCAGCAACAAAGACTACTTCTACTCAGCACTGAGACTGGTGCTGGAGATCCATAGAACCAAAGAGGACGGCGATGTTGTTGGGTTTTTCGCCTCAGCTGAAGTAAGAGATTATTTTGAGTGGTTTCATTGCACCAAAGCTGAGACTGGTTTAGCAATTTTTTTGATATGCTACTTTCTTTGCAATCCCTTCTGCAGGAGGTTCATTGTGCCCATACCATCCTCCAGAGAGAGGGGACCAGGCTAGGTGCAGAGCTGGGACAGATGGTGCCTGTGGTCCTGTGCCCAGGACAGGGAGGGCTACTGCCTGTCCCGACTGAGCAACCAGGCTCCAAGAGGTCCAGGAGGGTTTTCCTCTCTAACCAAAAGGGGGAGGATATGTGGTGGCCTACAGAGTCTGTCAGTTTTGTCATTGACACAGGAGTCCAGAAAAAGATGGTACGTTATTTCCAACAAAACATATCTACCTTAAATGAGTAATATGCTGATATTAATTGGCATGTGGTTTGGACTTTGTAGGTGTACAATCCAAGAATAAGAGCTAACTCTGAGGTACTTCAACCCATCAGTCAGTGTCAGGCAGACCTACGTAAGCAGCTGTCTGGACCGACAGGTATGTCTGGCAATACCTAAACCAGTTTAAAAGGTAGAAAAAAATGGTTTTCCAAGTCACACTCAGACATGGTAAAACAATCTTGACTATAATAATGGTGGAGGAATAACATCAGAGTTAATCAAATAATTAATTTAGCTCCATTTATTTCCTAGGTAAATGTTTCTGCCTGTATCCAGAAGACGGCCAGCTTTCTCCAGAGAACTCCCCTCAAATCTTGGAGTCCAACATTACACCAACAGTCCTTTTCCTAAAAAGGATTGAGATAGCCGGCCTTGGACAGTGTGATTTCATCGACAGACCAGGTTAGCCTCCTAGTGGAAACTGAGCAGGGTTACCATTAAAACGGGATAACAAGCTTTTTTTTCCCTCAGGTTACTGGTTCCCACAGACAAAATGTCTCTCCCACCCTAAAACACAGCCGGAGAGGTGTTTGTGGGAGGGTTTTTTTTGGCTAGAGGAAGTACAGATGAATTTGCTCCGTGAAGCTGTTTGCGGCCAGTCAGCCATGATTTAGCTGAGCTGACAGGACCCTGATACTAACTATTGTCTGAGCTCTGACCCACCCTAACATGAGCAGAACAGGGTAAAAGAGGCCAGCTCATTAACGATTATACAACATGTCTCGTTAGGGCAGCATCAGACAAGTACAATGAATAGGAAAGTACAGGCCAAATATACTGTAATATCTCCATATTCTTGCAGAATTTGGCACGGAAATTGCTTTCCCCAATATGCATGCATTATTAGAAATGCAAAGTGTAGGATTTTATTATGATTAGAGCAACTTTCCAATTATTGTGATTGCATAGATTGTAATGCCATATATATATATATTTGGGGTAAATTTGGTGCATTCTGTTGTTGAATCTCAACTTTGTGTACCACAGTGTCATATTTGGTTACTACCTATTGGGAGCATTGGGAGCCTCCCTGTGGGAATTCCCCATACTGGGATTTCAAATTTTGTATATAGTGGCTTAAGTATTAGCCCCCCCCAATAAAAAGGAACAGTTACACAGAGCAAGAAACAAAATGATGATTGTGACAGAGATGAGACAAAACTTACTTGACATTGTACTATTTGCACTATAGGGACTCTCTCTTTCTGATTTATGGAATGTATGTGTTAAGCTCATGCAGTGTCATTCCTCGCTCCAGATCCTGAGGGTCTCATGCAGGCGTTGGAGGAGCTGGATTACCTTGCAGCTTTAGACAATGATGGCAACTTGTCTGAGATTGGCATCATAATGTCTGAAATCCCCCTGGACCCTCAGATGGCCAAAGCGCTGCTGGCGTCCTGCGAGTACGACTGTGTGAGCGAGATGTTGACGATCGCGGCAATGCTGTCAGGTACGCGTGTGCCATGTGTTCATCTTTAGTTTATAATCAGATTTCTTGCAAGTACTCCTTATGAGTGAAGATCCTTTAATTGGTTTGTAGATTCACCAGATGGATATTGTTGTTGTATCTAATTTGCAGATGTATGAAGCTGCAGAATCTCTAAGACACTGAAGCAGATGGTCTTTGATAAGAGTGCTGTGTCTCAGCGATACTGACCACCTTGTTTCCTTTTCTTTTAGCGCCAAGCTGCTTCCTGGAGCCACCTGCTGGCATGACCCACGAGGCAGTCCAGTGTCACAGAAAGTTCCAGCACCCTGAAGGCGATCACTTCACCCTCATAAACATCTACAATGCCTTCAAACAAAGCCAGAGAGAACAATGTAAGACACAGCGAGTTAACAGAACTAATCAACTCTAGTAAATCTTTAAAAGTGCTGCAATATACCGGGACACACAGGGCCTGATGAAACCCTACAGCAGTGTTTCTGAATCTTCTTCACTGTGGCAAAACAAATAAAACCTTTGTAACATAAGACTAATGTCATAATACTCTCAGGCACTTTAAAAATTCTCATTTCATTTTACAAGGAGTTGAAAGCAGAAGAATTAAAGGATAAAATTACATGAGATATTATTTTAATAGTTCAAATAAACATGATATCAAAAGGAAAAATAATTACAGAATAAAAGGGATTTTAAGAGGCTATCCACCCAATGATGCCACATTAGTTTTAAATTTTAAAAACTGCTTGACATCGAGGGTTCAAGTAAATCTTTTAAAATAATTAAATTAATAATTTGATCATCACTTTTTCCATCCAATCTCAGTTGCTTGTAGTTGGAGGATTAAAATGAACATCAAAAGTGTTATAATTGTATTAGACACTTGTGGCCCCCATCTAAGCCACATTGTTTTGAATATAGTTTTAAGTATTAGAATAAAAATGGCCCTATTTTTGAGCTTCAAGGCCAAAAAATGACCAAAATACTACTTCACTGTGTGTTCAGACTTCACTGCTGAAAAGTGGTGCCGGGACTATTTCCTGGATCATTCCGCCCTGAAGACAGCTGAGGCCATCCGATCAGAGTTGACCGACACCCTGAACAGGATCGAGCTTCCCATCTCTGAGCCCTCCTTCGGAACCAAGACCAACACCCACAACATCAAAAGAGCTCTGCTGGCTGGGTTCTTCATGCAGGTATATGGAAGCTAAACGTCAGTGTTAATGAGTCCGCCTCCAGATATTCCAACTGAATTCAAGTTTACAGTCTCTTTCGTTTTTGTAGATTGCTCGAGACGTGGACGGATCGGGAAACTACTTCATTCTGACACACAAGCACATGGCCCAGGTGCACCTGCTCTCCGGCTACGGGGCTCAGTCACACAAGCTCGGGCTGCCAGAGTGGGTTGTTTTCCACGACTACACCCTGTCGGAGAACAACTGCATGAAAACAGTCTCTGAAATCTCCCCCCAAGTGTAAGTCAGATCACTATCAGATGTCACATGTACAAGCAGATTAGGCTTATGTTTTCATGCACCACAAACACTGTGAGACAAACATGTTTTGATTTTGTCTTTTTGTTATTACAGTAAACAGCAATGTGGTGCCTTTTTGTTTTTTAATCCTCTTAAAATCTCCACAGTAGTTAGTCTGTTTTCTTTAAGCATATTCTTATTTGTTTTTCCATCTCTTTCAAATTATGCCATTTCTGTTTTTCATTTTAGGTTCATTCAGATGGCACCGCTGTACTTCTTCTACAATCTGCCCCCTAGTGAAAGCAAAGACATACTGCAAGACCTGCTGGACCCAGATGGATCCAGAAAATCTAAGCAAAAATCCACCACAATCAGCAGCGCTGGCAACGGCGGCTGTGCAGTGGTGGCGCAGACTTACGACAGATGTGTCATTCAATGATGGGAAATCATAAATATGAAAATCTGGACTGCAATCACCAAATGCATTTATGCCTGTAAAATATTTATAGTCAATGCCAATCAGGAACTGTAATATTAAGTTATTTCATCACTTGAAAGTTGTTTTGATGGTCATGTGTGCATGGGCAAAGAACATCCAGCAGGTTAAAGGTGTCCAGTGAGATGACATGCCTATAAATGTAGTAAATCACCCTTTATTAGTTGTGGTCTATACAAGTTATAGCCAGTATATTCCTTTTTCCTGAGTGCTAGTAGCTGAAGGAAGTGTTCTTGTTTCTCACCCTTTTTTCCTGCTCTGCCCTTCAACACTGTCCGTTTTGAATTGCAAGTGGTTGCAAATGCAAATGGTCGTTTAGATTTTTAGACTTTAATGAGCAGCAGAGGGGCTGCAGGTGGATGTTGTCTGTTGCAGTACTTTAAAGGGAGAAAAACATCCCATTGTACCTCCTGTTTACATAACCAACAAAAATGCTGGCTCAAAGATGCAAAAAGTCATTAGTCACCTACTTCCTTTCCCTCGCTTCTTATGCAAAGGGAAATTTGTAGGGATTTGTATTTTTCTTCAGGTTAACATTGTGTGTATATACGGTTTTGTGACTGAAACAGTACGTATGAGTTGACATGCTGCCAGATTAAGAAAGCAAATTTTCAAGGCTCAAGATATAGAACGCGTTTATTTTCGGTGGCAAGAGATCTACAGAAATGCTCAACTGGAAAATCTTCGGTAGAACGGCACAAATAAACCCCATTCGGGATTCTGCTCCTGTATGTTCAATTTTCACAACAACCGAGATCAAATTTGTAAAAAAAAAAAAAAATCTACTTTCTAAGTTATGTCGTCAAGGACATAAAAATAGACAAGATCTTTACCATCCAGTACGCTGACTTTATGGCAAGTACATCTACGGCTGAGACTGGACCCTCAAGCTCACCTGTATGAGCTGTTGTCATTAACACAAGAGTTATCATATTTAATTGTTTTGGTTTATAATCTTGTCATAAAAGTGTTTTAAAAAATGTGATTTAGTGCTGTATTTCTATTTATATTCACATGACAAAACCATTGTACATTTCTGCAGTATAAGCAGGGTATGTATAAGTGAACAAGGAATTTGTAAATACTCCAAAATAAAATTTAAAAAAAAACATGTACTAGATGTCAAGTTTACAATACTGGCACTGCTGATGGTACCAAAACATTTTCTTCTACAGTCTCTTACACAGAGTATATTCAACAATTTCCATAAGCCTGAACGTCTTCAGCGTTGTGCATAGGTGTCTTAGTTTATTGTGAGGTTCACACAGTTAAGTATTCTTTGAGTTTGTCCATAATTGCAGGCATTCTGTCTGTTGGTATCAGCATCACTGTCCTGAAAGGTTTCATGGGTACGTCGTCGAAGGACCACCTGCCGCTCAAGCAGGAGTCTGCCTCGTCCTGGACTGTGTAGTGGAACTTTATAATGGCTTGCTGTAAGGAGAACAAAGACCGTGTTTAAATCTGCGAGAATGTTTAGACAGGAGTACAACACGTCTTTCTTTTATGAAGGCATAAATACATATAAAGTAAATTTAAATTAAAAAAAAAGGTAAAACACACTGTTAAAATATCTTTTGTTTCAGTTCAGTTCACATCTAAATGTGACACTGCATGCATTCTTCCTGTATATCATCAAATGTTTCCTTAACATCTTAAGACTGCTTGCATTTACTCTACTTTACCTCATAGAAGAACTCTTCCTCTGCATTGACAAACATGTATTCCTCTTTGGGAGCTCCTCCTCTGGCTGGAATACTCTTGCTTGCTTCTTTGCAGGTCTTGCTGATCATCAGACAATAGTGACACTTCCCACTGGGCTTATTTGTCCTCTGAGCTTCAGCTATTTCTTCCCTGGGGGACAGAATTACATTCAGTTTACTTCCCTGCACAGAAAACTTTCACTTTTATTTAAAAACAGCTGCAGATACTCCTTCAGCTATAAATCATAAGCAACTATTCCAGATTTAGATAAAATATAGCTAACCCATCTTCAAAGTTTTTTCCCCTTCACAAAGCACCATCAGGTAAAGTATGCATTTCAGTCAACAGAGCTTCAACAACACAGCTGAACCAACAGTTCATACAAGGTACAAAGGCAAATGGCTCATCAATCACCCTGATTGGAAGGGTTCAGATGTAGTTTGACTGCTGCCTTCACAAACCGTGTGTTTGTGAACATGCATAATTCTGGACACTTCTTCCAGGATCATGTGGATTTGGTTCTACTGGTTCTATGAAAATATAACTGATCGTAAAGAAAACTTGACAAAACTTAAGGATACACATGCAGTTTAAACACATATGCAGAAGAAACTGCTGCTTGGGGTCCAGATACTCATTAAAAGTCTGTTCTATTCTAAAACTAAGAATAAAAGTACTTAACACCCTATTCTGGAACATGAACGATGCATTTCATGTCTATGTTGTCGTCTTCGTGAAACATTGCCGTAGCCTGTTTTAACAGTGTTTTACGGACGTGTACAGAGAGTAGGACTCACTGGAGCTGTTTGTGCAGTGGGAGGGCAATCTGTGGAGGCACATTGATGAAGCGCTCACTGAGCAGCAGCCCCACAGGCTTGCTGGTATCACCGAGGATTTGCTCCAGCTGTTCCGCCACACTGTGCGTAGAGTTCTTATCACACTGCTCCACGATCAACTCCTTCACCTCTTCCACACACTGCACCCCCTGCCAACAGCAATAGACACACACAGTGATCCAATTTTAAAATTAACTAGCACCACATGTGTTAATTCCAACATTATCAGAGCCCCCCCACCCCCTAGTTGTCAATTTGCCTGTAAGGTTGGCGCAGGTGGTGTTACCTTTCTCTCGGTAAGGTTAAGCATAGTGATGAAGCCAAACACTTCATCCGGGTCGTCGTCGTCGCTGTCTTCTGGCACCTCAGCTTGCTGGAGCAAAGTGAAGGGACATGTGAATCCACGTGGGAGCTGAAACTGCTGAAAAACTCACCTATAAGTTTTAAGCCCAGTTAGTAACTCACCTTGATGACACTTCCAATGTGATTCTGTTGAATGATGATGTCGGTCATCTCTGATGTATTTACATGAGCCTTCAGGAAGACCTGTATCCAAACATAACAGCATGACATCAGTGAGGCCACGCCTACCCCCAACACCTTACATGAGCATGATCAGTTACATTAAAAAAAAAAAAAAAAACATGAATGTTATCCCAAACCTGTTGTAACAGCTTCTTGACGCCATTGAAGTCGTTGGCTGAAATGGTGTGGGCTTCAAAGTCCACAACGATCTCCTGAATGTGAAACAATAAAGCAGAGAGCCGTTAACAACAGCCTGCAAATGGGTAAAGTAAATATATACACATGTTTCTGTTATTTTATTCAACTATTTGTTTTGTGAAAATCACTTTAGTGTCACTCAAGTGGGGTTTTGACGTGCACGGTACTTCAGCATTTACCGAGTGGTTACAATCATACTTCGGTAACGTTAAAACGTAAATAACATATTCCAATGTATCTAGTTTATTAACGCTAATATCTTTCATTCTGGCTGGCAGCATCGGTAAATAATTGTTCCTGTTGCTATAAGCCGACAGCTGAGAAAGCTAGCTAGCTATTAGCTAACTAGCTGGCTAGCAAGGCTATGCATAGCATTCACATTCAATGATTGTTTGTTATTTTACCTCGTGGATCTCCTCATCTGATGCCTCGCTGTCCTCCTCACCGGAATCACCATCCTCCTCCGGATTATCGTCGGAGCTGTTGTCACTTTCCTCGGGATTTTGACCCAAACCGACGGCTCTCCTCTTAGCTGACGAAGCCATGCTTGCAAACAGGCAACACGTGTGTCAACGGAGTGGGCGGGGCAACGCTTAAAGTAAACCCACCGAGGAGCAGGAAACTGAAACTCTGAAGCCGCCATTACGGCTCCAAATGCATCCGCGTTGCCATTTGCGGTAGCAACCTCAGTCGTCAAATGGAATAAACCATTTTATAAAAAAAGGGGGGGGATTTTTGAACCTGTGCGTGCGTAAAATACTATGTTACAGTTATGAAAAGTATTTATATGGTATGTTGTAAGTATTTAGTATACATTTTGAAACATATATGGTATTTTTCTCGTTAATATTCATGGGAGATTTGTCAATATTCCGTTATATGACACACCCCCCCTCCTCCTTGAATTGGTCAAACGCTCAGCAGTACGGACAAACAAACTGAAGGTAAATTCATTTCATGCAATATTTTGTCTTTTTTGAGTATAATTTATAGGTTGTATATCATTGAGCAAGATACATTAGTCTCTTATTATCACTAGGAAATGCGGACAGCTTATATAAAGGGAACGGTTACTGTAGCTAAGATGTCATTCACTGTGTCTTGCTAATGTAAACAATAACACACAAGAAGACATTAGCTACGATTTAGCTAATAAACACATCGTATACAACTAACGTTAGTGTATTTAGTGTATTTATCTAGTATATAACTAGAAACTGTGGCATTATGGCTTTTTGCATGTTCCTCATGCAGTCCAGTAATCGTTACTCAACGCTGTTATCAGCAGATTACATATGACAGTTTTAGGGTGTAGCTTAGCTTGCTGTGCCTTCCCACCCTTTGTCCTCAGTGTTAATGCAGCTTTGACTTTCTGACAGCAGCATTCATATTCCACACTGGTTTGTTCTGTTCCCTATTTATTTGATCGATCCAGTGTTTTAGGGTTTTTTTCGGGATGGACGTACTGCTTCTCAAAGAGCCAAGAGATGAGGAGTCTCGACCGGATCCTTACATTAAGGTAGACACACTTTCCCTAAATCTTCAACCCTCAAAAACTTGTTTTTAACAGTACCATGTTCAAGCTTGCTTTCTCAGCAGTTGTCAGTACAACACTTCCCTTTTTACTCCTTGCAAATGCTAACAGTGACATATTGTTTTGATTCCACAGGAGCTGGCCTCATACGGACACAAAGCAACCCTAATTCCTGTACTGTCTTTTAAGTTTGTCTCATTAAACACCTTGTCAGATAAGGTAACTTCCATTGTTGCAATATTGAAATTAGTCATTTGTTTCATTGGTGTATTGTCATATGCATTGCTTTATGATAGCTGTTGTTTAAGATGTCTTCCTATTTCAGGTTTTCCAACCAGAAAAACATGGAGGTCTTGTATTCACCAGCCCAAGAGCAGTGGAGGCCGTGAAGATGTGCTTAGAAGCAGAAGAAAGAAGAAGAGGTGAGAGGATACAAAGTAATTCATTTCAGAATATTTGTTTCACCCTGTACTTTGTTTTTATTTAATGATCTTAATCCCCAGAGTTTGGTTAAATGTCTATCAATTCTGTGTACTGTCTAAGATTTGAAACAATTTGATTAATTTGCTAATTAATTCAGAATGGAACAGCTCTGTGAAAGACAAGTGGAACACCAAATCCATCTATGTAGTTGGGAAGGCAACTGCTGCACTAGGTGAGTTATTTTCACATATGAACCACTTCTCTCTTAAAATATATTTTTTTCTTTCTTTTTTTTTTCCATCTTTGTGCTTTTTATAAACCCTTGCTGTGTTAATGCTAATTCTAGAAGTGTGTGGCAGGCATCTGGTGTTGCACTGCCACAAGTGTGTGAAGTGATGTTACTACCCATAGTCATTTGGAAATAGGTTGTACTCAAGTGACAGTTTGCTGCGACACACAGCCAATATATTTTAGAAAACAAGCAGGTGCAGCCCCTTCCGGACGTGTGCTTTGCCTTCTTTTTTTAGTGACTGTTGGTCTCTTTGTTGTCAGTTTTATGAGTTGTGTATTTTGCAATTGATTGTTTTTGTGTAATTATTCTGATACCAACATTCCTAAACAGTCCTTTGTGTTTTTCCTGCACAGTACGAAGTTTGGGTCTGAACCCTTTGGGCGAGGACACAGGGACAGCACAGGTCCTATCGAGTGTTATCATTGACCGTACGTTATTATTTTATACTCTTGCAGTTCAGTTTAATAGAAAATGTATGATGAGTGATAACTAACATGACCTTATACTTAATTCTCATCATAGGAGAGGACACAAATATACTACCACTTTTTTTCCCCTGTGGCTCAATCAAAAGAGAAGTCTTGCCTAAGGCTTTAAGGGACAATGGTAAGCATTTTACCCCTGTTATGCCTCACAATTAAAACTCAAGGTGATAGAAGTCCCACTGGGTTTACACTAATTATAAAATAATAATTGCGTTACCTTTGTCACCGCAGGATCTGTTTCTTTCTTTCCAGGAGTGCCCCTAGAGACTCTTACTGTCTATCAAACAGCTGAACATCCAGATCTGGAGAAAAATCTAAAGAACTATTTCACAGAGCAGGTAAAACCTTTTCTCTTGCTACATTTTAGAGAGTACTTTCTTTTTAAATGTAGCAACTGTTCATTAGTCTGTGCATTTACAGGGCACTCCAGCCAGCATAGCTTTCTTCAGTCCATCAGGAGTGAAGTTTTGTCTGGATGCGGTACGGAGGCTGTCGGGTGAACAGCTGACTCAGATAAAGGTGAAACCCCATAGTCACACTCTTAACATAATGCATGAATCTTCAGTATTTGACAGATCTTCAGTGCCTCTGAGAGTCACTTAAAACTTCTTTGTTTCCAGTTCGCAGCCATAGGGCCAACCACACAGGACGCTATGACAGCAGAAGGCCTGTGTGTCAGCTGTGCTGCAGAAAAGCCAACAGCTGAACACCTGGCAGCAGCAATAGCCAAAGCTCTACAATAATCACCCACAACCTCTGAAATCCATCCACTTTAGCTTCCCTCTTTGTATATTCTGTATTATTTAAATGTGTTGTCATTTGTCTGTCTTGTTTTACTGCTTATTTTGCCAGTTTTGTATGTACATCAGCTAATTTGCACTTAGAAAAAGCAGCACTGTGAATGCCTCAGAAATGTATTGAATATAATTATAATTCTATTTATGTTAGCTCTAGCTATGCTTGGTCAGTGAAGTCAATGAAGTAGCTTTTTTTGAATTATCAATGAAGTAGATTTAGTTTGAATGATCAGTGAAGAAGATTTAGTTTGAATGATCAATGAAGTTGAAGTTGAATGCCTTTGAAAATAAATTTGAGTCAGTGTGATTACATGGAAAGTTTGGTCAGTGTGTATTCATTGTAAAACACTGAAGTGTGTGTGAGTGTGTCCTGATCAAAACAGGTGTCACCAGAAGCCATTGCTTTCTTAAACTGCTATTGTCCACATGAAAGTGAAGGTTTTAAACTTCTTTCCACAGGTCAACAACAGTCTATTTAAAAGCAATGGAGCGTGTATAACACATCCACACAGTTCAGTTAAATTGAGCAGTTGGAGACAGTAAAGATAGGTTTACTTTTCACACAGAGATGAGGAAAGTGGGATACCACCAGAGAGTCACACCTTTAGATGGGTGTGGAGAAACTCAAGACCTGCCTATAAAGCCTTCTGGCTTCTTGCTTTCCATCATCTTACTTGTTGTTGTCACATAAGTAAACCGACGCCACGATGCTGACTTTTATCCAGCTGATCATTTTGCTTTTTTGGACGAGCATTAGCTCAGCTGATGCAGAGAAACTTTTCCATAATCGTGATCATTCTGATGTGCAGAACCTTAATTCTCACCAAGCTGCGGTTATATCAGACAAGTACACAGCAGAGGTAAAAATCTCACCATTTTAACAATTGTTCTCAGCGTATAGTATATCAGACATTTTATGACAAATTATTGGAACCATATATTGTAACCCATGGCTTGCTATAGTCATTTCTCTCTAGATATGGATTCATTAAGCCTGTGAACTGGGAGGAGATCCAGTTTGAAGACTCAGACAACTCTTTTAATGAAGACTTCCTGGATGATCTTCAAGACACGATCCAGGAAGGAACCTCGGTGCATCATTCAAGGGATGCTCCTCGGGACAGAGATCAAGATGACCAGGACAGCCTAACTAAGAGCCAAGCGTTTATTTCAGCCCTTGAAGAGTTTCAGAAGGTGTCGGGCCTGCCTGTGACGGGTGTGTTCGATGAGGCTACGAAGGTGGCGATGAACAAACCGAGGTGTGGAGTCCCTGACAAGGAGATTGACCTAAACGCCCCTGTGGCACCCGAGAACAGTAGTGCCTCAGATACTGCAAACAGTTTCAGTGACGCTTTTAATGAGACTGACAGTAACAACACAGCAAGTAATAGTTTTGGTACTGCTAACTCCTTTGAAGATGACACATTCAGTTTTAATGACACAGAGGGTGTTGTCACAGAAATTTCCAATGACACCAGCAATTACAAAAAAGACTTTAACTCATTTGATCACATTTTAAATGACACTTCCCTAAACAGTTCACATGGTATCAACATGGACAGTCAAACCTTAAATATAAGCTCGAATAACCGTCAGAGTGAAGCAGTGCGGCGCAGGAAACGCCACCTTGCCACTCTAGTATCCAAAAACAGGCACAAGAGAGATTTGAGTGAAACAGGCTACATGGCCTTTTCTAAGAGGGTGCTGAAGTGGAGGCTGATAGGAGAAGGCTACAGCAGCCAGTTGTCTGTTGAAGACCAGAGGTACATCTTCAGACTGGCCTTCAGGATGTGGAGCGAGGTGTCTCCGCTGGAGTTTGTGGAGGATACACATTCCCCACTGGAGGATGTTGATATCAGGCTGGGCTTTGGCACAGGTAGGTCTAACCCAATACATAAAGCATTCATTGCAACATATTTTTATATTTTATTCTATTACTACTCTTTGTTTCAAGATAACATCACTTCTCTTTGAAGGTTAATATCTTGTTTTTATTTGAAAAAAGAAAATGATGTAACCCTCATGGCCCATATTGTTAAGTCCCATAGTGAAAATTGTGCGTGAGATTTTTTACTCACTCACTTAGTCAAATTTTTACAGAAAATTTAACTACATTTACTCAAATACAAATTTGAGGTATTTTACTTGTGTTTTTTGGGGGGTTTCATGCCACTATACTCAATTCACTAAACTTTACATGGAATTATTGTACTTTGTAATGCTGATACAATGTTTGTGTCTGTCTGAGACAGTACACTTGAGGGCAAAAAAGTAGCAGCTTGTCCAAAATTATCAAATTAAATCATTAAATTCAACATACACTACAATAATAGCTTTAGTGTTCATAACCAGCCATTTCAGCTGTACCAGCCATCATCTGTGTTCCATAGAGAAGGAATATGTTAATTTTGTACACTAAAACTTTGTATTTCATCACCGTAGAAACAGCTGTCTAATATATTTTTTCACCATGCCCACCTGCCCCTTGTGTGAAGTAACATATTGCACTGTGAGAAATTAATGCATGTTTTATTTGTTTAATTCTGTGCCACTATATCCCACACAGGAAGGCATCTGGGTTGCAATCAGAGGTTTGATGGCAGTGGTCAAGAATTTGCCCACGCCTGGTTCCTGGGTGATATACACTTTGATGACGACGAACATTTCACTGGTCCCAATGCTGGCAGTGGGATCAGCCTTCTCAAGGTAAATACAGCGTGATTAAATCAAATAGCAAATGTTATAATTGAAAAAGAATTATAAGAGGATCATTTACTGCTCATTAATTCTAGTTTAATTTTTTTTCTATTAGGTGGCAGTTCATGAGATTGGCCATGTTTTGGGTCTCCCTCACATCTACAGACCGGGCTCTATAATGCAGCCCAGCTATCTGCCCCATGAGTCAGGCTTTGAGGTGGACTGGACGGACAGGAAAGCCATTCAGCACCTCTATGGTAACAGCACCATCTAGTGGATGTATACACACAGAGATAAACACATTCAGGTTTACTTAATCATATTTACAGTAACAGACTGACACAAAACCGATTCTTTTCTTGATAAAGTGCTTGTGTTTGAACCCAGGGGGCTGTAAAGGTCCATTCAACACAGTATTTGATTGGATCAGAAAGGAAAAGACACCCTATGGGGAGGTGGTCATCCGCTTTAACACCTATTTCATGAGAGGCGGCTGGTACTGGCTGTATGAGAACAGAAATAACCGAACACGCTATGGAGATCCAGTTGCACTGCAGATTGGCTGGCGTGGAATTCCCATGGAAGGAGTGGATGCGTTTGTGCATGTGTGGTCCAGAAAAAGAGATGCTGTTTACTTCTTTAAAGGTAGGCCTAAAACCGTACTAGCCTCCATATCTTAACACTGTTTGCACTATAGTTTGCCAGTAGGGTACTCATTTTATTAAACAAGATATTAACATATATTTGGTGAATGTTTTTGTGCACAGGTACTCAGTTCTGGAGGTATGACAATGAGAATGACCAAGTGTTCAGACAGGACGCTGAAGGTCACCGCTATCCGAGGTTAATCTCTGAGGGTTTCCCAGGGGTGTTCGGTCCCATTGACACAGCCTTTTATGACAGGAGGGACTCCCACATCTACTTCTTCAAAAACACTTTCGTAAGAATTGCATCCTTATCTTCCCTTTGACGCATGATAAGTGGGGAGGTGCATAGGAAGCGCAGAGATAAGTTGTACTTGTTAGGTTAGACACAGCAATAGATTGGGGGATTGTGTAAAAAAAGGCCAGTCAGGTGACATTTTAAGGGATTAAATCAAGGCTGGATTACCAACCAGGCAAAGTGGGCAACTGCCACTGTGTCACAGAACTCCAGGCACCACAGAAAGCACCACAAAAGTCCCATTTTCCCTTGTGTGTCAAGTTTTGGTAATTTACATTTACATATTGTGCAAAGTGCAAATTTGTCAGGCAATATCAACTAAGGCAGGTCCTGTATTATTATTATTATTCCTATTATTCTCTTGTAAAGGAACCCTCTATCAAAATCTAAATAAATCTGTTAATAATTCGGATACACAGGAAACTTGGGTATATATTATATAATGTCTTACTTTGTGCTTTAAACACATATACGCACAGAGCTGTAATACGTTTTTGGTAGACATGTTTTAATAAAGGACGTCAAAAGTCAAAAGTATATGTATAAGTCTATACTTCTCATTAGAGATTTGGGTTCAAACATAATGCATTATGGGTATTATGTATTTATTCTTTTTTTTCTATGGGCCCCTGAATTAATAGTCATTACAACTTCCTTATGTGATTTGTAATCTAACAATACTAGTTTTCTAGAAGAAGTGGATAAACAATAAACAAAGTCTTGGAGAAACAAAAGCCCAAGCTAATTCATTGTTTCTCAGCAATATGAGGGAACATATTCATACAAACAAATCTGCTACACTTCCTCTGTGATTTGTTTGCGTGTTTTAATTGAATTGATTTCTATATAAGAGGCAAAACAATTATCTGTTCAAACAGGTGTATGCATTCGATGTGGAAGCCAACAGCTTGGCAAGAGGCTTCCCCAAAAACATCAGAGATGTTTTCCCTGCAGTGGAGAGCAGAGACCATCCAGATGGCAACATTGACGCTGCCTACTTCTCCTACACCCACAATGCCATCTTTCTACTCAAGGGCACACGCTTCTGGCAGGTGGTGGGCAGCCGCAATCGCTGGCGCCGGCCCTTTCTGCCGCAAAATGGCCTGCTGCCACACAAGGAGGTGGACCAGCGCTGGTTTGACATCTGCAACGTTCATCCCACTGCACTCAAACTAACCCGCTGAGGTTGCTGAAGCAGTGATTCATTAAATCTTACTGATGTGTACTGATAGGCTCTACTGATTTACCTGTTGTTGTATGTATACAGTAGATGTCTTTTAGTTACTTTTTTGTAATGTTTATCTAGAATTGAACTGGATATTTCTGTTGGTCTATTTTCAGTGAGGTGTGTTATTAATATATCAGCTTTCTCTCACCTAGAGATGCCAGCTGCAGCTTGGCATGAAAAAAATCCTAAAGGACCTTTTTATGATTAAGATACTTCAGGCATTAGTGAGAATAAAGTTATGCGTAGAATGTTTACTAATTCATCTCACAGACACCTTGTTTACTTAAATACATACTGTATGTATAATGTAACAGATACCTATCAATATTTTCCTGAGCTGCTTTCTGTAAAGGTCGATGTTCTTAGGTGCAGTGGAGGAATTGCTTTCAAAAAGGGGTGTTTATGCAAAAACATGGAAATATATATTTTGAAGGAACATGCATTAAAGTAT